TCAATTTAAAAAAAAAACTGAAAAAATCTAAATTTTCTGAAAAATTTGTGAGTCCAGAAATTTTCTTCTGCCAACCTTTCAAAAATGGATGAAAAAACTAGCTGTTTTGCTGCTGTTTTCAAATTGCTCAGCTAGTTTTTCATTACTTTTGGCAATTCCCAGGTACCAAAAGTTGCGGAAAACTAAGTGTTTCGCTGCTATTTTCAAACTTTTTGCGTTTCTTTTCTCGAATTGTGACGAATTTCAGATTTTTTTCAGAAATTTCTGAAAAAAAAAATTAAATTTTCTGAAAAAATTGTGAATCCAGAATCTTTTTGCTGCCAGCCATTCAAAAATGGATGAAGGCTTTGCTCAAATTTCATTTTTTTCGATTTTTTTTTGAAAAAAATAAAAAAAAACTGAAAAAATTGAAATTTTCTGAAAAAATTGTGACTCCAGAAATTTTCTGCTGCAACCCATTCAAAAATGGATGAAAACTGGTTGTTTTGCTGCTGCTTTCAAAATGTTCAGCTAGTTTTTCGTTACTTTTTGGCAGTTCCCAGGTACCAAAAGTAAAGGAAAACTAGGTGTTTCGCTGCTATTTTCAAACTTTTTGCGTTGCTTTTCTCGAATTGTGACGAATTTCAGATTTTTTTTGAGAAATTTCTGAAAATTTTCTGAAAAAATCCGAAAATTTCTGAAAACTTTTCGAATCCAGTGATTTTCTGCTGCCAGCCATTCAAAAATGGATGAAAACTGGTTGTTTCCCTGCTGTTTTCAATTTTTTCAGCTAGTTTTTCATTACTTTTAGCAGTTCCCAGGTGGAAAACTAAATGTTTTGCTGCTATTTTCAAACTTTTTGCGTTTCTTTTCTCGAATTTTGACGAATTTCAGAAAATGTTCAGAAATGAGCTAATTTAAAAAAAAATGAAAAAATTGAAAAAAAAATATTTTTTCTGAAAAATTGTGACTCCAGAGATTTTCTGCTGCCAGCCATTCAAAAATGAATGAAAACTAGCTGTTTTGCTGCTGTTTTCAAAATGTTCAGCTAGTTTTTCATAATTTTTGGCAGTTCCCAGGTACCAAAAGTTGCGGAAAACTAGCTGTTTTGCTGCTATTTTCAAACTTTTTGCGTTGCTTTTCACGAATTTCAGACAATTTTCAGACATTTTTCAATTTTTTAAAAAAAAAGTTGAAAAAATCTAAATTTTCTGAAAAATTTGTGAGTCCAGAAATTTTCTTCTGCCAACCTTTCAAAAATGAATGAAAACTAGCTGTTTTGCTGCTGTTTTCAAATTGTTCCGCTAGTTTTTCATTACTTTTGGCAGTTCCCAGGTACCAAAAGTAAAGGAAAACTAGGTGTTTCGCTGCTATTTTCAAACTTTTTGCGTTGCTTTTCTCGAATTGTGTCGAATTTCAGATTTTTTTTGAGAAATTTCTGAAAAAAATAAATTTTCTGAAAAATTTGTGAATCCAGAATTTTTTTGCTGCCAGCCATTCAAAAATGGATGAAGGCTAACTGTCTTGCTGCTGTTTTCAAAATGTTCAGCTAGTTCTTCATTACTTTTGGCAGTTCCCAGGTACAAAAAGTGGAGGAAAACTAGCGGTTTTGCTGCTATTTTCAAACTTTTTGCGTTGCTTTTCTCGAATTTTGACAAATTTCATTTTTTTCAATTTTTTTGAAAAAAAATTTAAAAAAAAAAGGGAAAAAATCTGAAATTTTCTGAAAAATTGTGACTCCAGAGATTTTATGCTGCCACCCATTCAAAAATGGATGAAAACTGGTTGTTTTGCTGCTGCTTTCAAATTTTTCAGCTGGTTTTTCATTACTTTTGGTAGTTCCCAGGTACCAAAAGTGGAGGAAAACTAGCTGTTTCGCTGCTATTTTTAAACTTTTTGCGTTGCTTTTCTCGAATTGTGACGAATTTCAGAAATTTTTCAGAAATTTCTGAAAATTGTCTGAAAAAATCGAACATTTCGCAAAACTTTTCGAATCCAGATATTTTCTGCTGCCAGCCATTCAAAAATGGATGAAAACTGGTTGTTTTGCTGCTGTTTTCAAATTTTTCAGCTAGTTTTTCATTACTTTTGGCAGTTCCCAGGTGGAAAACTAAATGTTTTGCTGCTATTTTCAAACTGTTTGCGTTTCTTTTCTCGAATTTTGACGAATTTCAGAAAATGTTCAGAAATAAGCTAAATTTTTTTCTCAGAAAAAATTGAAAAAATTGAAAAAACAAATTTTCTGAAAAAAATATGAATCCAGAAATTTTCTGCTGCCAACCATTCAAAAATGAATGAAAACTAGCTGTTTTGCTGCTGTTTTCAAATTGTTCAGCTAGTTTTTCATAATTTTTGGCAGTTCCCAGGTACCAAAAGTGGAGGAAAACTAGCTGTTTCGCTATTTTCAAACTTTTTGCGTTGCTTTTCTCGAATTGTGACGAATTGTAGAATTTTTTCAGAAATTTCTGAAAAAAATTAAATTTTCTGAAAAATTTGTGAATCCAGAATTTTTTTGCTGCCAGCCATTCAAAAATGGATGAAGGCTAACTGTCTTGCTGCTGTTTTCAATTTTTTCAGTTAGTTTTTCATTACTTTTGGCAGTTCCCAGGAAAACTAGCTGCTAAAATTTTCTCGAAACGAATTTATTTTTCAAAGTTTATCTGCTTTTTTGCTGCCAGCCATTCAAACTAATTTTGCGGATGAAGTTTTTGCGTTGCTATTTTGACTCAGAATTTTTTCAGAATTTTTTGAGACATTTCTGAAATTTCTAAGAAAAATTTGATTTTTTTAAAAAATTGTGAATCCAGGGATTTTCTGCTGCCACCCATTCAAAAATGGATGAAAACTGGTTGTTTTGCTGCTGCTTTCAAATTTTTCAGCTAGTTTTTCATTACTTTTGGCAGTTCCCAGGTACCAAAAGTTGCGGAAAACTAGCTGTTTCGCTGCTATTTTCAAACTTTTTGCGTTGCTTTTCTCGAACTATGACGAATTTCAGAAATTTTCCAGAAATTTCTGAAAATTTTCTTTAAAAATCGAAAAAATTCTGAAAAATTTGTGACTCCAGAGATTTTCTGCTGCCAGCCATTCAAAAATGGATGAAAACTAGCTGTTTTGCTGCTGTTTTCAAATTTTTCAGCTAGTTTTTCATTACTTTTGGCAGTTCCCAGGTACAAAAAGTGGAGGAAAACTAGCGGTTTTGCTATTTTCAAACTTTTTGCGTTGCTTTTCTCGAATTTTGACAAATTTCATTTTTTTCAATTTTTTTTGAAAAAAAATAAAAAAAACTGAAAAAATCTGAAATTTTCTGAAAAATTGTGACTCCAGGGATTTTCTGCTGCCACCCATTCAAAAATGGATGAAAACTAGCTGTTTTGCTGCTGTTTTCAAATTTTTCAGCTAGTTTTTCATTACTTTTGGCAGTTCCCAGGTGGAAAACTAGCTGTTTTGCTGCTATTTTCAAACTTTTTGCGTTGCTTTTCTCGAATTGTGACGAATTCCTGAAAAAAATTGAAATTTTCTGAAAAATTTGTGAATCTAGAAATTTTCTGCTGCCAGCCATTCAAAAATGGATGAAAACTAACTGTTTTGCTTGTGTTTTCAAAATGTTCAGCTAGTTTTTCATTATTTTTGGCAGTTCCCAGGTACCAAAAGTGGAGGAAAACTAGCGGTTTTGCTATTTTCAAACTTTTTGCGTTGCTTTTCTCGAATTTTGACGAATTTCCGAATTTTTTCAGAAATTCTAGTCAGATATATTTCAGAAATAACTCAAATTTATCCAGTACCTCAGCAGGCTGGGCAGAAAGTCTCAAAACTAGTTTCTGACCATGTCAGAGTCAGACTTTGGTTTTGCTGGCCCACCCGTGTGCACTGGATTTTTTTGTGAAGTTTCACCGTTGGCAGGACAAACATCAACTCTTCGTGGTGAAAACATTGACCGACGTTCAAGAAATCCTGAAATTTCCAGAATTCCTGTAACAAATCCGAACATGTGCCTGAACCTTAACAAGGCCTTATTAAGGTTTGCTGCTCTTTTTGTCTGCAGCTGATGTGTCAACCCTTAATAGGTCACTAATAAGGATCCAGGAACCTCTTGCTGAATCCTTAATAAGGATTTCTGATTTTTTCAATTGCTGCAGCGGCCAAACCCTTAATAAGGATCGTTCCAGGATTTTTTTCCCAAATCCCGGAATCCTTAATAAGGATGGCCACTCTGGGGGGGTAGGCTCTGGGGGGGTAGGCGTAGGGTTTCATGATGAGTAGTGTTCAAACCGGTGTTGAGTTGATTGACGTTTTTTCCAGGGTTATACTGGTTATACTCGCCAATAAAAATTGCAGATTGTCGCAATCCAAGACCTGGGAAATCCCATTCACCAACCACCCGAAAAGATAGAAAAGTGTTCCCAGGATGTCTACAATTTCCAGTGTTTCCCATGTTTCCCCATTGTATTCCCATTATATTCCAATTATTTGTATATAATTATTTATTTATATATATATATATATCCACTAGATTCCAATATGCCATCTGTCAGTTTTTGCTTGTTAAATCACATGTTCCAAGTTTCCAGCTTGTGAAATGACTGTTTTCTCACTGTTTCCCATTTTATCCCTGGTATATCCCATCAAATAAGTGGGAAAATCATGATTTACTTATTAAATCACTGTGTTCGCTGGTTAAACATCATGTTCCATACGTGTCCCATACTTATCATGGAATATCACCATTAAATATCAAGTAAATCACCATTTTCCAACTTACCATATGGGCGGGTTCTTAAGTCATGGGGGATCCCCAAGTCACCAAGGGTTTCAATACTACATGATCATCCATGGATGATTTGGGGGTACAGTACCCCCATGACTTGGGAAACCTTCATATATCCCCATCATATCCCCATCATATCCCCATCAAATCCGTTTATATCCCCATTAACTCCATAATTAACCATGATTAGCCATTATTATATAATTATTTAGCCATTATCTCCAGAAAAAAAGGAGAAACAACACCGCAGCGCAAGGAGAATGGCGACGTCTTGGCCTGGGGAAGTCAGAGCTGTGGTCGCTTGGGGCTGGTGGAAGTCAAGGTGGCGGCGGCGGGGGATGGGACTTCACCTGGTGAAAAATGTTGGTGTTTAAACTCTTTGCCATGGAAAATGGTGATCGAACCAGTCGAAATGGTTGTTTTGCCAGAGAAAATCATGGCTTAACCATGTTTAGCCCGCAAAAATGTGGATGTAAGATGATTTCACCATCAAAGATGGATAAGATGGTGATGTCAACCAAGAAAACCAGTGGCTTTTTAGCAGCAAAAATTTGGCGCTTTTGAGCCAATGAAGACATTGGCCTTGGAGTTCACCCAAAAATTCTGGCCGATGTCACTGTTTAGCCACCTATAGTTACGCAATGTTATGCATAAATACATGTTTATGTATAATATAACTTATGCATACATAGTCCTAATATGTCTTTCTATATGTCTTTATATAGTCATTTATGCCACTATGCACATACATGTAGCGGGTACATGTCGGAAAATATCGAGATTCTGGTGTATATATTAGATCCGCTCTAAAATTAAATGCTTATAAGGATTTTTCGAAGCCGAAGGACATAAATAAGTGGGCATTGATGCATTTTTTCATATCATTAGAAGGCGGAGTCCTGTATATATGCAGTGAAATTGTGTCCCTACATTTAGGCGCTAGGTTTGAGTTAGTGTGGCGCTAGATACTTTTACATATAATAGCCATTAAATTGAAACATTGCCAGGCCCCCATGCTTTCTTTGCCTCTTGCTTTCTTGCGACTGTTGTTCCCCGTCCTGCTTGGGCAGCTCCCCAGTCGCCTTTCTTTTTGTAAATCTCTTTGAACTGCATTGCCGCTTTTGGCGAGCAGCACTAACGTGACTTGTGAAGATATGTGAAGAATCACTGCTTTTCAAGTTTTCACGGCTAGGCTAAACGCAGTTCACATCACTTTTTGACATCTCCAAGCTGCTTTCGCTCATCACAGGAGGCACTAACACATATTAATAGGAAGCCAGAAATGGTCAGTTTATTTGGGTTTTGATAAAATTGCATGGTTTGGGCAATATTCATATTATATATTCATTGATATTGGCATTTTGATGATCAATCAATATTCCCCTGTGGTATTCAAACATGGCGATTGAACATCCGAATATGATCAAAACATATCAAACCCAGTTTCCACGAATGATATCACATATTATCACATGGCAATTGTGATAAGTCGTAATTGGCTTTTGATAATAGTGATATTAATGGGTACCCTCTGGTAAACTAACGTAGCTATGGAAAATCACAATTTTTGAAAGGTAAAACAAGGAACTAAATGGCCATGTTCAATAGCTATGTAACAAATTACCAGAGGGTATATCCCATTAATCATCATTCATCACCAATAAATCACAATTAACCATGATTAACCACTATTAAATCACTATTAACCACTTGTAATCATCGAGATGGTGCTGATTATCTCTGTAGGAGGAGCGCATCTGTTGGGAGCCTTCCCTGGTTGTGGCCACCTGGTCGACGGCTGCAGCGGTCTCGGGCAAGAAGCATGGGCAGTGGCTTGGCCCTGGGGAACAACGGATAAACGGATAGGGGAGCCCGCAGAAATCCATAGAACATCGGAACATGATGAAAGCTACTGATTGAAGTTGAATTGATCTGAACTATCGACTTTGGGGAAAGATGGGAAAGCATCAAGAATTCTGGTCATTGATCCAGTCAAAATGGATGAACATAGGCGATTTAAGCAACAGAAATTGTGATTTAACCATCAAAAATACTGATTTCCAAGAATTGTGACTTAACCATCAAATATGGGGAAGTAAGGGTGATTTAGTGAGGATTTACCTGCTAGAATAGGAATAGATTGGATTTAGCTGACTGTGATATAAGGGGATCGTACCATTCATATACCAGGTGCAGTGGTAATGGGTAGTTCGTTGCAGGATATCATCGATATCATCAATACTTATTAAGTGATAGGTGGGATCCAGGGAATACGAATGGGACGAACGGGGATGGTCAAGATGCTCAATATTTGGGATGAGAGGAACATGTTGGGAGGGGATGGACTTGGAAAGTGGTAAATGCAAGTTGGGAAAGTGGTACAGCACCAAGAATTTGAACCACTACAGCACCGAGATTTAACTTTTCAGGACCTTCAGGATTTACGATTTTTGGATTTACCACATGAATATACTACAGAATAACCAACAGCGAGGACTTTACCTGTGAAAAGCGGAGATTCAAAGAACAAAAACTGGATGTGTGACCTGCACAAAAGAGGGATATGTTGTGGTTGTTTGCCACGGTGAACAAATCCACTGGTACATGGTACAGCACTGGTGAATCAGCTACTGTACAACATGTGACCAATTTTCACTTCTTGGGTTACAACTGGGACGATTATCCTAGTTGCCTTGAGAGGTTGTTGAGGCTATGTAACTCTGATGTTTGATGCAACCCCTCCTGAAGATTGTTCGTGCCCGAAGGGTGTATGTCAATGTATTTATACAATTTTATACATGCATATATATATATATCATATATATATGTATATACAGATTTATACATAGATATAAATCAATATAAATCATATATATACATATATTTAATTGTTTAGATAAGTTGCGCTGCGACCTCATGGCGCGACGTCCCTGAAAGGATTTTTGTTTGTGGGGCAACTCTCCCCTCGAGAGGGTTTTTATTTGGGCGGCTTGGTGTTCAGCTTGGTGAAATATGAAATTTGATCTACACAAAATTGAAAATGAAATGATATGATATGATTGAAATTGAAATGAAATGAATGATCTACACTAAAATAGTAAGCCCACAAAAAGATTTGCTGACATTCGGAGAATCGTTGTGGGATATTTATTGGGATCCTTGTGAGGATCCATGGGATGTACAATTTATCCAGAGTCCAATTACTCGCGCTGCATCGAAGATATCCCATGACTATCCATGACTAGTGACGGTTATAGAATCATCGAAGCATGTGGAAAAAGTTGTCTAGGCGTTTGGTGCTATTGGAAAACATGCTGGAAATGAGTGTATTTTATTCATTCAATGTTTGGTAAGCGATCATTGGTAATGGCATTGATACTGCTTGTATCCTATATTTAGCAAACTGTCTTCAAGTTCTTGCTGCACTCTGTTCTAGTTTCATTGATTATAGGCCTGTGTTGGTAGGTTGATTCCCAGGTAGGTGTTGGCTCTCCAGCGTGTGTTCGTCGGTTTAGTTCCTGTGTTAGTAGGTCTTATCTTTTATCTTTGGTTTAGGTTTTAATCCCTTGGTGCATCATCCCAATTTTTCTTTGGCTCTATCCCCATTTCTCTAGGTCAGGTGAGTTATGCTAATAACTAATATCTATTAGTTTCATATTATTTTTAGTGTATATATATATATATATGTATAGTTACAATACATATATATATATATACATATACACATGGTCTTATACATACATATCATCGGTCTTGGTTAAATTCACTCTAGGTTTTGTCCCCATACTTGATTATACCAATTTTTGTTCACAGAACTCCCGCTTTTTGCTGGCGATGTGTCGTTTTGGATTCTTTTGGTCGAGTTTCCACTCTGGTTGATTTAGATATCCTTTCTTTTAGCTTAAATCATAGTTGTTCATGATAAGAGTTTCCTCTTCTTGATTGAATACAGTTGAATCGCAGTTGCACTTGCTATTTTCCCTTTTTAAATGTTGGATCATGATTCATGACTAATCATATATATCCGTGTCTATATATATATACACATATGGATATGGCAAAATTATAGCGACCTCGCTGCGACGGCACTGTAAATCGGGTTAGTACGGAAAATCATCCCAAAGTAGCCGAACTTTTCGGGGGGGTGAAATATTATGATTTAGATGTATCCATATCTATACATAATTACTATGTGTGTAAGTAAATATATACATATATTTGTCACCACATATATGTCACCATGTATACTTCTATATACACATATAATTATATATAACTAGTTTCCCCACATCTTTGTTGTTTCCCCAGCTTCGGGTCTGTTTATCCTCAGCTTCCCCGCCTCAGGCGCCGCTCGATTGCGGGCTCGGTGCGCCTCACCCGCAGTGATGCGACCTACGCGTCGGCAGTGACGGAAGCCACCCATGAAGAGAAGGAGGGGAAAGAAAGTTGGAGGGGGCTGGGGATGATGAAGATAAAAATATGTAATTATATATATATATATACAAATGCATGGAGGTTTCCTAAAATGGGGATACCCCATTTTAGGACACCCAATATACAGTGTGTGTATATATACATATTGGTATGTTTATACGTGTTTGTACTGTATAGTTGTTTCATGTTTTCAATATGTTGATACATGTTGATATGTCGATATATGTCGTTGATATGGGTTGACATATGTTGATATATGGTGATATATAGTGATATATGGTGATATATTGCGATGTTGATATGTGTTTACATATGTTGATACATATATGTATATAATTGTGTGTGACAGCCACTCATGTAGCAGTCTTGCTTTGACAAGCCTCTTGCTGAACCATGCTGCTTCCGAACGAGCACCAACGGGCTCGAAAGGCAGCAAAGGGTGGGAGCAGCCGGGAACTCATAGGTTTGAGTACTTTGCGCCACACATCGGTGCTGTGCAGCAGGGCTGAGCGATTTGGTTGACCGGGTCAACATTGTATCCTTTGTCTTGGTGATCCGCATCACATTTTTCCAGGTGGAAACATCATCATCTGGCAGGGCTAGATTCATCATCCTTTTGTGGAGCTACCAGTGTGTTTGGGGGATTCCTCTCCCCTTTCACAATTGTGTATGTGTATATGTTGACATACATATATATATATATTTACATATATATACATATATACACATATATATATATATACATACGTGTGTTGATGCATGTTGGTGCATGTTGGTGCATGTTGATATATGTTGATATATGTTGATATATGTTGATATATGTTGATATATGTTGATATATGTTGATATATGTTGATATATGTTGATATATGTTGATATCGGTGTGGGTGACCGTATATGTGATATGATTTGCTCATGCATTTCTTGGTCGATTCATGTGTTTGATTCTTTGTTCATTCATACACTTATTCATGGAGGGTCTTTTTTTAGGCCTTTATTCATGCATGGGTACAGTACGTATATACATATATATACGTATATTATCATATATTGCTACATTATCTTCATGTACAGGGTAGTATCATCATCTACATCCATACCTACTTAAATCGCCAACAAGGACGCAGGTCTAATTTGGATCAAAAGGGCCTGGTCACACAGAGTATTGAGCCCACTCAAAAAAAAGTGCTTAAACAAACAGCGAATATTCAAACATGTTGCTGTCTTATTCACGCGTTGGATTCGCTACAAAAAAAAATGAAGAAACATGAAGACCGATGTTGCGCCTTGATTGCCCCTTTTCTTGCAGCACTTGAAAGGCATTACATTGCTCATGTTGGGTCGATTTTAGTCTGTTAGCTTTGCGCCAGTCCTGGCATTTTTGGATGATGTTGAGCCTTTTTTGGGCCTTGAAGCTCCGTTGCAGCATCTAGGCTATGTTGGACCCCAAAGGGTTGTTGAGGAGAGTATAAACTAGTATAAACCTAAGCCTAAACCCAATCTCTGAACCCGTGTTTGGCCGCTTTTAAGCCGTTGCATCACGTTAAAAGACGTGTCACGACACGGCACAGAGCTAGCTGCGTTTTCGGTCCGTTTTTGGTGAATGGCGCAGGAGGACAAGGGAAGCAAAGAGAAGACCATGAACGTGGCGACTTGGCTGGAGAGCTGACGGGAGTCGCCACTTTCCAAATGTGTGAATGCTAGGATTTCATTGAATTGCAAAACTAGTTATATACTCTCCCTTGGCTGTCAGAAAAGGTATGCCCTGCAGATGGATGTGTTTACAACGAAAAAACTCGGGGACAGAGAAACAGAAAAGTTACCACCAGATGTACGACCAATGATACAGCTGTGGGTGTGAAATCGGCATCAAGCATCGGTGGTAGTTTGACAGTAGATTGATTTCGTCGTACTGATGGTGACTGATCCAGGTGTAAAACAGTAAAGCACCAATCGATATGACCCACGAAAAGCTTTCCCGAGCAGCCACTAGCTACACCAGAGGTTGCAATCATGGTTGCCTCCCAACAGATCAAGAGATGGCAACCAGGTTTTGCATCTAAAGATGCAAAGGAACCATCTTGTGTCCTGATTGTTTGAAAAGGGGTAGACTCCCATAGAGGGGAATCATACCCCAGTGATCATCCTGTTTGAGTTACCGACCTCTCAGAACTGTGCGCTGCACGCGATGATCATAGCGTGTCTATGGAAAATGTATCACAAGCTGAGTCGAATTCAATCAGCATCCCACTTATTGAATGAACATTGGAAGCTACAACTACAAGATGGGGTAGTCGAAGACTTCAGGAGATTTCGGGAGTTGGGAACAAAGGGATACAAGGCTAGATTTCCGACCTGCTAGTTGCGGTCATCTAAGTCGCCAGCGCATAACGATTTCGTCCACAAATGGATGAAGAGGTCAAGCTTTCAAAGTGCTTCATCCATCGAATGTACCCTCTGGTTATTTAACATAGCCATGGAAAATGTCCCATTTATAGATGATTTTCCCATTAAAACCTCCATTTATAAGGGATTTTCATGGATTTTCCACGGCTATGTTAAATAACCAGATGGTAACAATTAGTGTATGGTTCTTGCCCATGAGCCTCCAAACGTTTTGTTCATGTTCCACTTGTCATCCAATGATTTGATGTTTAGATGATGGATGCCCCAACGGAGGTGAGTTTTGTGATGCTCCAAACGGTGCTGAAGCAAGAGAGCACGGACCATGGCAGCGCGGAACTGAAGTTGTACGCGGACCATCTGGAACAGACCGCGCCACTTGGCCGATGGAGAGTTTGAGCAACGAAAATGGGTGGTTTTAATGGGATGGAATTAATTGGGATATAGTGGGGATATAATATTCATGACATGGATTGTTACATGACATGGATGATTATGAATTTGCTGAAAGTGATGTGTTTCCCATCGCATAATTGGGGAATCGAAGGGTTTCTTTATTTTCTGGGCCACCAAAATCAAATCTAAGGTGAGGTCTCGATCTGGTGATTGGGGATGGATACACCAGCCACATCCAGCCACAACCTACTTGTTGTGAACAGCAGCGGATCTGGTGTTTGACCCATACCCGTGTGTCATGTCATGGTTGAACTTTTTGGAGGACCCCAAAATTGGATGGGAAACCTACTGAGAGGATGATCAAGCAGCTCTAAGGCTTGGTTGGGAATATGCGCAGACAACTTGAGGGATATGAGATCGACGAAGCAACAAATTTTGCAGAAGCAATCTGGGTACTATCCACTGGCAGGCACCATTAAGTGAAAATGAACAATGGAAATGGATTGTGAACCCTGATTTTGAGTGCTTGATCGTCCCCTAAAGTGGTGATCAAAAAGTTTAGGACTTTAAGACTCAAGATCCCTGGAGTTACTGTATATAAGAATCCATTCCCAGCAGTAGATCTCAACAACTTGGCAGGTCCCATGCTCCGCAGCCTGCGAGGCAAGAGATCGTGAAGGACATCCAGAAGCTTCAAAAAGAAGAGGATGCCATGTGTGTAGTGTGTAGCCACTGGAGGTCCTAGAAATGGGATGGTTTTTGTCAACAAGACCAGGGGAAATAGCATAAACACTCAAAGGAAAAGAAGATACCTCTTGAAAGAAGGGGCTGGGAATCAAGAAAAGAGACTGTTCCTGTGAGGAAGCAGCCGGCGGTTTCCAACACCATGGCCCTCCCATGGCAAGCTCGAACCGGTGGTGGGTAATGGTTGAGACATCTGTTAATCCCCAAAGTCAGGACACTTCATTTGACGCCAATGAGTGGAATATGTTTCGGATGCGTTTAAAATTCAGAGCCCAGGGGCCCAGTCCACCTTCATATTCACTGTAAGGAGCTTGTGTTCCTTGGGAGATGTCTCCCTGCCACCAGCATCCACATCCGCCTCCGCAACGAGGAGTCCTTGCGAAAGCTGGAGGCCCAACTCAGCGATTCCCTGAAGATGAATTTGCGTCACTTGCCCTGGCACTCCTAGCGAGGCCTTGGTCAAGGGTAGTCCACTGGATCAAAAAAAATACGGTCCGGTCATCAGCTCCATGGCCAGCTGGGAAATCCCCGATCAATGGAAGTTTTAATAGTAAAATCATCAATAAATTCAATAAAGGGTGGATTTTTATGAAGCCATTGTTTGAGTACCGGAGGGTAATAGCTATAAATGGGGGAAGATACTATCCAGGAAAGATTTTATAACATTATATAAGTCTAATATGCTCTATCATGCTGTTTTTTTGCGGGGCATCCAAGCTTAGCCAAGGGAAGTGGATAGTAACCATGCTGCCAGCTCATCCCAGGTGGTCCTAGATGCCGCAGTGGCCCAAAGATAACACCAGAGACTACCAAGAGGATAAGGTTCAAAATTCAAAAGGACCAAGGGGAAATAGCGATGGTTCAAAAGTCACAGGTTAAGTGCTAACCATAGCTAATTCGTGTTCATTGAATTAGCAGTAAATTAGTACAGTAATCCATCCTGTTTCTGGCGTTCCAATTTCTAAGCTAAACCAAAAACGAGAATTGTATCACAGTGCTTCGTACTACTGGCTATAAGTCGCACTGGGTTGTTAAGGGGATACCTGTGGTTTCATGTGCTTGAAGTTCCACAAAACCCCATCAAATATCATCAAAGATCATCAAATATCATCAAATATCATCAAATATCATCAAAATAGTGGAAAATGATGGAAAATGTGGTTACAGTTTATTCCATAACATCCTCACGGATTGCCATTGGTGGTCTGTTGGTCATATATAATAAAATATAATAAATATGTTGCTTAAAGCATGTTAAACCAATTTCACGATTGTAAAACAGCCATGGTTTAAGAAATGTTACACCATGTTACACCCATGGGTTTGGTTGTTCACCCATGTTACAGCCATGTGTGGCTTTCCTATCTCCTTGCTGAGCTTCTCCTTGCGCAGAGGTTGGTTCAGAGGTCTCATCGTCCCTGACGCCTCCAGTACTTTGGTGGACGCAAGGATGCCGCATCATCTGTCGGCCGGGTGGTGGGGAAGGGCCTCACTGCGACCTCACTGGATTAAAGCTTCGTAAGGGGAATGATCCCAAAAAAAAGCTGTATTTCAGGTTCGTGAAATATTGGAAAATTTACTCAGACCATGAGAAACGTGAGTTGAAAATGGATTTGGAGGGATTTTGAGTTAAACTACGAGTAGTTTAACTACGCAACTAGTAAACACTCTATGTGTTTGTTTGAGTTTTCTCAGTTTTCTCTGTATCTTTAATTCGAATCCAACTCTGGCCAAACTTGGCAGCTACAAATGGACGACCGGAAATCATCCCAGGTCTTAGGGGGCACAAAGCAAGTCCAACATCAAACATCAGCAGTTTGGGGTCTGAAAATTCACCGTATCATGGTACACTTCTAGCAAATTGTAAGCCAACTTCTGGCGAGATGTGATCCTCCATTCACATCCTTCCGTTGCTCCGTGCAATCCAGACATCGCCAACAACAAGTGGGATCCGGACACCTTTACAGGCATTCTACCAATTGAAAATCCTTCATGTCGTATCATGGTGTTCCCACTTGAATGCCCATTTAGTATCATTTAGTATCATTTATATACTTATCATTTACTGGGATTTCCAGCCTCGCCATGTTTGACACTTCTAAATGGTAACTGACATCCGTTGCCTCGGGAGCCACCGCGGCCAGAGCTACGCGAAGATGTGTTGGATTCTGCAGCACCAAGCGGCGTACCTCACCCAACTCTCGCAGTACATCCACGGCGACGAGGCCAGGAGCCGGGCTGAGGACTGGGGACTTGCGGACAGAATCCCATGCCCCTCAAAGATGAAACATATATGTAGACTATTATGTAGATATATACATAGGTATTACATGTGGATACTCTATATATATACATATTATATTATTATTATTATTAGTATTATTATTATTATATTAATATATATATATATCATATATATTGAATACCCCAATAAAGGACCCAAGATGAATAGATCCAATCCTTGACCGGGTGGGGAAAGCCATACTCTGCTGTGATGACCCATGGGGCCGATTTAGTTTCAATGTCAATTGTTTTGGGCTCCATGTTTGGTCAAGATACCCGTCCGATGACAATTATTTAGATAATCAGATTGTCATACATATATAATCATATATAATCATATATAATCATATATAATCATATATAATCATATATAATCATATATAATCATATATAATCATATATAATCATATAATCATATATATATGTAGATATACATATATCTATATATATATTATATGTAGCTGTAGCTGTGTGCCAAGATTATACCACTTTTTCGCGGACTGATTGAGGGAACATTCACCGGAATCCATGGTTTTACCTCCAATCATTACAGCCTTTCCTGTAGGTGTTCTGTTAAACAATGCTGAACTGTGAAAGCTGTTCATTATTGTTACTACCCTCTGGTAAACTAACATAGCAATGGAAAATTGCCATTTATAGTGGATTTTCCCATGAAAAATGGTGATTTTCCATTGCTATGTTAGTTCACCAGAGGGTATACTTATTTCCCATCACATCGTTATCCGCCAAAATGTCCTCAAATATGCCCCAGTCATCTCATTGCCAGAATTCTCCCATTGCCTATCAGAATTATGAATTCATATTATATAGTTATTTAAGCCAGACTTACCCCATGTAAATACTATTACTATTTATATGGTTATTAGATAACACTAGATACACTTAAATTATCCCATCATATAATGGTATTTGATAAATATAAATTATCCCGTTGAATTAGGATTATTATTGTTCAAGTATGAGTTAAGTATCTAATAGTGAAATATCTACATACAAAAATCATATTTATCATTTAATATTAGTTGTTATGCTTTATCATTAATTATTATATTTTACTAGATACTGTTAAATTATATCCCATCGAAACATCATACTAGTATCATACAATCTAGAAATCTAATAGATAACTTATCAGACTTATCCCATTTAGATCAGCTTTATACTATTAGATTATGGTTGTTATCAGGTTATGATATGCTTAATATATATATATCATTGAATATCCCAATAAGTCACAACTTATCAGAATTATTGGGTTGTTCTTGCCAGTTACCCTCTGGTAAACTAACATAGCTATGGAAAATCATCATTTTTGATGGGAAAATCCACTATAAATGGCCATTTTCAATAGCTTTTTGTATGTTTACCAGAGGGTATTTTGCTGCTGAACCCGGGCCAGATCCGGCGACGAGCCCAGGCCGAGATCTTCCTGGATGCCATCGATGCACTCTTCGGAGACGTCAAGGATGAGCGGCAGGTGCACCTCTTCAACTCGCTGCAGACCAGCGCCTCGGATGCCTCGGCCCCATTTTTCGGGAAGCTTGGGATTCTATGGATCTATGGAAAGATATAGGAACATATAGGGATTTTGTTTATTAAATTGATGTTTTAACCAAGAGAAATGGTGATTTGATGGTGTTTCTTTTTTAATAGTGAGAATGCCAGCTGGGAACTAGCCGTGACCGGGTGGGGAATGGATGAAATCAACATGGGGAACACGCCTAAGCATGGGGAACACTTCCCCCGAATGTTGTGGAGTGTATCACTACTTGTTTATGCAAAGCAATTTGGATTCAGATTTTTCCGTGATATAACCATGGTTATCATTCCCCATAAGTTGGGATATGGGGGCCCTATAAGGATAATGATACATCATATACGTATATATCCACTATAGTTGTATATCCACATATATAACAAATATCTACATATATAACTATAATCACATATCCCCATATATAGCAAATATCTACATATATAACTATAGTTATATCCACATATGTACTGTAATCATATAATATATCTATAGTACATCGGTTGTTTTGTTCAGTCAAGATGACACGTCGACATACATCAACTGATCCCGGGCGGCCCAACCCACAGGCATGATCGCCAAAGAGGCGGAGAATGCAGGCGATGGAGAGTGGGGGGGGAACGTTTCCCCAACCACAATTTAGAACGGGGTTGTCAGCCATAAAGATGGGGCCTGAAACAAAAACAACGAAATATATGGAGAAATATGTGTTGTTTAACAGTTTAACATGATTTAGCCAAAAAAAATAGTATGTGTAGTGTAGCAAGCAAACTTGGTTCAATCGAAGAAGAATTGGGGATGGAGCGAGGAAGAGAAGGTGGCTTGAACCAAGAAGCGATACGACAGGGATCCCCAGGTCAAAGATCACTTGATGAACATGGGACCAATTTTGCCCATGCCTGTAAGTGGATCCTCTCGTGTTCTATATACTGTGTATATATATATATTGTATATCATTGTAGCGCATCCTGGAATGAAGGATTTGAATGATTGTATGGCAGTTGCTCTTCTTGAAACATCGATCCGACAAAACCCAGTTGATCAAGTTGGGAGGTGATCCCAACTAGTGACAGCTTGCACTGTTGGAAAAGTACTCCCCCGTTTTTGACTCCGGCCTCAGTTGGGAGTTTATTTCCTCCAAGGTTCACATGGGACATCCATGATACGCAGGTGGCTCTCCTGAAAAGTTCATGGATAAGAACGACTCCGTGGGGGGCCCCCGGTGGGGAAGGAGATCCCGATTGATCCCTTGGTGGGTCACCACCTGGGGATGGTCATGCGTTGTATCCACTGTTGTTGCTATAATATCTCCATTTGGAACTTGGCTGCACATCTTATTTTTGAATCTTAAATTACATGTATGTATATATATATGTATATATATATATATATGTATATATATATGTATATATGTATATATATATGTATATATATATGTATATATATCACTATGTTAGGTCAGTGACCCCTTTGATCAGCGTATCTATCACTTGCTGGCTACAATTACCTTGGTCAAACCCGCATTGTTCGGCTGGTCAACTCCCCATGTTTGGTTGTTACAATTCCTTCGTTACTTCGTTCGGTGAAATGTCCATTGTTGGTTGCTGAAGTTCTGATTTTGGTTGGTTCAACTCCTATTAAATCTCAAATGTCTAATGCTTCGATCCCCATTTGGGGTCGGAAAATAGAATACCCCAAACGGTTGAGCGGTCAATCATAATTTTCTCCATTCTGATGGGGTGTCATACGCCATGTTCAGACACACATACACACGAATACACAAATATTAGATTGTTCGGATTGTTGGTCTACAATGAAGTTCCAAAGTTCCTAGATGACATTGTTGTGGGGCGATCGTAGCCCCATCGTAACCTATAATATTCCCATTCTATCCCCATTATCTGATATTATATGCATATATTCCCCCTCATACAACTGACCATTCTCCATGTGTCCATTATGTTCCCTATATTATCCCATTATCCATATATTGTCCCATTATCCATAAATATATATATATATAGATAGAATAGACATATTCCACATAAATCCATTCCCATGTACCAACTGACCGGACGGTCTCGCTTCCCATGTTAGGTGAGCTTCATGGTCTTCTCCCAGCGCGCGCTACGACAGGCCTTTGCCAAGGAGATCTTGTTCCCCTTCCTGAGCTCCAAGGACAGGATTTGATGGTTGGGATTGGGATTTAAATGATGAAAAATGAAATATAAATGATGATTGGTGATTCAATGGGGATTTGGTGATGTTATGCTGATTTTATGGGATGTCATTGGGGTTTCATTTGATTTCATGGGAATTTGATGGGAGTTGGGGTGATGCGGGGAGGAACCAACATGAATCAACGCGGCTTGCAAGACGTACTTGCCACATCTTACCAGGTCGCCTCATCCCTGCTGGATTTGGTGCAGCTTGCATCCCTCAGAGAATTGCCCAGCAGACACTTACCACTTTGACGTTGTTTGGTAAGGATAAAACGACTGCTGGATAGGTGTTTCATCGCCACTTCATAGGATAAAACCCGTATCACAAGGGAAAAGCCAGTATTCCTCGGAGAAAAATCCGGACTGCGACTGGGAATACCCAGCCATTCGTGTGGAAAGTCTTCACTCGAAACATTGCGCCCTTCCACAGATGCGGACATCTCCCTCATTCATTTGCAGAGACAAGCCGGCTGTTGGTGGGTTAAAGGATACTCCATGTGTCCACATGATGGTATAATTATCCCCATAAAATGTGTGTTCAGGCACGTTCAACCCAGCTTTTGCCGGCAGAATCCCTATGAAATCCGCAATTGTTGGCCACAAAGCTAAAAGAAAGTCACATTTGGGTATGGGTCAATACCTATAGATACATTTTTAGTGGGATGAAGATCCATTTACCAGCTATTTTGGGGTTCACTAGGTACCAGGGTTTTGACCCATCCCCATTTATGGTTCCAGCTCCAAAATCGTGGATTTACAATCTTAGCCGATCTTAGCCTGGCATTTTTTCGCCCAGGACTCGATCCTGGAGTTGGTGGGATCCATCAGCAGCGCAGCTCAAGGCGCCGCCTTCTGCTTGAGCTATGCGGACTTCAAGGACGATTGGCTTTCGTTGCGGTGGACTGGAGCCATCCCCGGTGGACGTATTTGTTTGTTATATTTATACTATCTATCTATCTATCTATCTATATATATATTATGTCAGGTACTATGCAATTATTGTATATGATATGTCATGTATTGTACTATACATATACGTATATATATATATATCATGCTATGATGTATGTTGTCACTGTATTTTTCTATGTTATTTCTCGTAGTTTATAATTATGTGTGTATATATATATGCAGGGATAACCTTTTTACACATTTTAAATGTTAGAAGCAGTATGGATGATAAGCAGCAGGTATTGGCAATCCGGGCACGGGGTTGGGAACGGTTAGGACTCACCAACAGGACAAAGCGTTTGCTAGTTGTCGCCAAAAATAGGATGACTGGTTCATTCAATTACAATGTGTATGTATATATACATATGTACTACAGTACATATATATATATATGTACACATATACTACATATAGAATTTGGAAGGTCTGGGGCTGCTTGCAGAGGATGGGTAGATTATGTAAAACCGCAATTGCGGTCACCAGGCGCGGATGATTTGGGGTATGGTCATGGGATCATGTGTTGTTTTCAAATGATTTATAAATAAATAAATAAATACATACATACATACATACATTAATACATTAATACATTCATACATTACTACATTACTACATTACTACATTACTACATTACATACATTACATACATTACATACATTACATACATTACATACATCACATACATTACATACATTCCAGACATTGCAGACATTACAGACATTACATACATTACAGACATTGCAGACATTACATACATACATAATGCATACATGCACACATCCATCCATCCATCCGTCCATCCATCCATCCATTCATTCATTCATTCATTCATCCATCCATCCATCCATCCATCCATGCATGCATGCATGCATGCATACATACATACATACATGTATATACATACATGTATACATATATATATATATATATACGTATGTATATATATATGGTTCCAGATATACATACATACAATTATATATATACATACACATAATTCTCCCTGAAAGTGGAAGGCTTTTACCAAAATTGACCAACTCTGACTGAAGACCATTTTCGGTGGCCCCTAGGTTTAACCCACTTGAAGACAGAACGGCCTTGTGAAACGCCCTTTCTGCTCCTGCGTTTGGGGGCTGCGTCCAGGAGAAGTTGGGATCTGATGGCAAGGGCAAAGATGAAGTGGAACTGAACAACATCTACTCCCTGAGCCACTCTGCTAAAGCTTCCGGAGTTGGGACTCTGTCAATGCAGATGGGGAGCATCAGTATATTTATGGGTGGTATAAAGCATCAATTTATATTGGTGATATACTTATTATGAGGTATTGTATCATTGTGCATTGTTTCATGCTTCGATGGTGGTTGAGGATGATCATGATGACTCTGGAAACAGTCATTAGGTAAGCAGAAAGAAAGGGCCCTATGGCCCTATGTAAGTCATACATATACAGTACTTATCATTTTTGTGCCATCACAAAAATGACCGTGTCAATGAACAATCTTGGACGATTTTGATGAAAATCCCCAGCAATTCATATGGAATGTCCCAGCTAAACGCCGTTTGATCGCAGGCCTCAATGCCTTTCGAGATTTTCTCACAGGAGGCCTTTCGAAAACTGGGCGGATGGCCGGCGGATGGCCATGGCAGGTATGGGGCCATGGGGCCATGGGGCCATGGGGCCATGGGGCCATGGGGCCATGGGGCCATGGGGCCATGGGGCCATGGGGCCATGGGGCCATGGGGCCATGGGGCCATGGCATTGGGCACCAGATGGCACCAGTTTTTTCATGGCCATGTGAATGGTGAAAAGCAATGACAGACTCAGGACAGGGTCAAGATTTCCCTGTAAAGTACAATATGATGGGAATGACTTGTTGATGGGCTGCAAGTAATAGTTGCAGCCAGTAAATGTTGGTTTCTTACTACTCGGTTCCAGACTGGATTTTGGTGGCCGCACTGGTCTGCGTCCCACTTCACAAAAGATGGACTGTTGTGGGTCAAAATTCTGCGACCCCCAGATGGGTACTTGGGTACTTGGATGAACATCTGAATGCAGACCCCCCCTTACCATGGGACATCCAACGTTTGCTCCTGTTGTTCATAAGGATTCCTTGGTTGAGCTTTCTTTGCATAAGGTTTTGAACAACGCAAGTGATGTGATGTGGTATGAGATGATTGTGATTGTGATTACGATCATCCCAGGGGCAATGGCTGGAGACAGGATGGTGGAGATACGAGAGATCACATCCATCAATACTGCAGCCATCTGCAGCCATTTGGGTTGTTTTCTTGTTTCACTTCTATGACATTCCATGACCATTTCCAGTTTGGCGAGTTCTGATGCGAGCTCTGCAAGTTCGGAGGGAGATCCATCGGTCCAAAAACCTTGCTCCAGGTGGTTGCCCCGATCGTACCTGCTGGTCTTTGTGATCAATGCCACTGCGAGTGTTTTGCTGTGGCCTGCCGATATTGAATATCCTCATGGCTGGTACCACGACCTGTATGGGTATGACCGCACATCGGATCCTCCTACCTGTCCACTCAAGACGCGGCTCTTCTTCTTTGGGCTGATGCTGTCGAGTTTTGGAGCCGGCTGTGTAGCAGCCTTTCTGGTGAGAAGGGCTGAAGCTTCAGGTCATACAAAGTGGGCGTGTGGCTATGCCATAGTCAACTGGATTCAAGCCATGTTGGGCTCACTGGGAATGAACACTCCAGGTAAAGGGGTTTGCAGGTATGGAGTGATACCAGGCCCAGCCTTCGGAGGTGAAATTTGGTATACCGGGCTTGCATGCTGCCGATTGCTGCTGTATCTCGTTGCTTCCTTCTGGATGCAGACACTCATCGCTTCACGGCTGGATCTCTTGGAGCAATCCGCTAATCGGAACTACAACAGCATCTGCTTTCGCACACTGATGTGGGCCCAAATCTTTGGGGCAGCAATGGCTTTGCTTCCCATTGCGGGCATTGTCTATGGGATCGCCCACGGGATTGAGTGGAGGGACGGCAATGTTCCTGTGTTCAGTCTGTGCGCAGTAGGGGGCATCACATTGCTGGGCAATGTTGCAGCTAGCATAGTGGCCATTTGCTCTTTGCGAAAGTCTTTCTTGGAGCTGCGGGGGATTTGTCGCGTGGCAGAAACCAATGAGGTGTCCATCTCCGCAAGATCTTTTTTAAGACGAGCCCGAAGGTTTGCTGGTCTGCAAGCGGCGGGTGTATCATGTAGCCTCGTGTTCACGCTTCTGCTTGTTCCAGCACGTGTTTTTGCTCTGCTTGACGTTTATATTACGGGGTTTGAGTCACGGGATGAGGCATTGGTGATGGTCTGCTTTTTTATCCAAGCTTTTGATGCCCTTGGAAATGCTGTGGCCGTTCTCCTTCTGTCCGGCAGTCACAGGATGGCCAAGGTTGAACGGAGTCAGCGGAGCCAACGCAGCTGGAAAGTCAAAAACCCTGAGCATAGCAGAAACACACAGATTTCGCATGAAGATGTGAACTGGACCAGCAAGATGGAGGAACTCTCAATGCGAGGGATGACTTTGCGGAGCTTCCTGCAGTTCTATCATGAAAACCTCCCTCTGATGCCAGATTGGAAATATGTGCCAACGAACACTAGACCAGAGATGTGGTCCGAAGAGCGATCATACCATTGACTAGCAGCGAAGAATGTGTTTCAGCTTTCAACAAGGATGGTCCGAAACGGGCACAAGTCATGGTAACCCACAATTGGGGCAACTCGTTCAGCGACCTGCTGGCTGCAGTGCTGTCGGATGCTCTACAGGAATGCAGTTTCAGTTTGCCAGCACAACTTATGCAGGAGGATTGCGCTTTCCTGCAGGACCTTCTGGCGAAGATGGGTCGGTTGGATGACACTTATTGGATTTGTGCTTTTACTGTGAACCAACACATCAGCATCTGCCACAGCAACCCGTATGACCGGGATCCTTTCACAAATCAGCTGCACCCAGTGTGCCACTGCAGCAGCACGAACATCATTGACACGGATGGCCAGAGTGCCTCGTCAGAGATCAACAAGTTTGATGACATGATGCGCCTTCTTGCAACGACTGGAGGATGTAGACAAGTCATTGCAGTGGACAAATCTCTGGATTTGTTTCCCCCTCGGGGGGGGGGCGCGGCGGTTTCACCGGCGCGCGGGAATTAACCTGATTATAAATACCTCCCGACCTGACTACAGCATTGGTTCTGGTGCACATGGCGCTTTCCTAGCCGAGTTCTTTGGCCATACAAGCTGGGGTTCAATTCCTCTGGAGACATGGTGCGGCTTGGGGTTCGATTCCCCTGGAGACATGGTGCGGCTTGGGGTTCGATTCCCCTTTAGCATGGTGCGGCTTGGGGTTCAATTCCCTTGGAGACATGGTGCAGCTCGGGGTTCGATTCCCCTGGAAACATGGTGTGGCTTGGAGGCTTGAACTTTGGTGCGGTTGGTGCCAACTGCCGAGGACTTTGCTGTGTCATGCATGCCGGGCTTGCGCCCGCATTCATGCCAATTCGTTTCTTGTAGAGATGCAATTTTTGCTGGCCCTTTTGTCTTGGGGTCTCATGACTGGTTTTCTTTTGCAGATTTTGAAAGCCCAGATCGTGGGGGTCTTGGGCCCCTCCATATGTCAGCCTTGCTATCGATGTCCTTCGCTCTGGCTTGGCCGTAATTCACTGCTACTTGGCCGGTTGGTGGCTCATTCTCCCGCTGCTCTTTCGCGCGGCGCCATGCCTGAGATGTTCATCGCACACCTGCGATCTTTAGGATCGCTTGCACGAGCGCGTGTGGCTCTTATGGCTGCTTAACCACAGCTTCGGCTGGCAGGTTGTATGTCTCTTTTCATTCATTCATTCATTCTGGATTTGTTTCGCCGTGCCTGGTGTGTGGCTGAGATTGCGGAAGCCAAACGTTTGCAGATGGACCAGTCATTGAAACTGCTGTCCAAAGCAACACTGCAAGCACGCGCACGAACATTGGAAAATTTGGACGTGCGGGACATGCGTGCCTCCTCCTGCAAAATTGAGGATGTAGATGATTTCAATGCCAAGCTTCAGGTGCTCATTTTTGATCCAAAATCAGGCCTTGTTGCCACGTGGAATGCCATGGATAGCCTGCAGCAGATTGGCGAAGTGGGCCGGCTCATTCGATGGGGCCTGGCAGATGCAGGTAGTGGAAAGGTGTGGAAAGCATGGGACGGCCACAACTGAATCCACTTATATAAGCACAGCCCATCAAAGGTATGTGCACCCTGCCACCCAAAAGAGGCACCAAAATTAAGACTGGATAAAATTGAATAGATGCATGATGATGCATGCATGCAGGGCACTGAGTAGCATTTCCCATAAGAGGCATGTGCCAAATTACTTGTGCAACCTGCCGCGTGTGCCAAAACTCAGACTGGAAAAAGCAGCGCCAGCAAGACTTTCATGATTCACCGGGGCAAAGTGTTGCAGAAGTTGACAATGAAACCGATTGCAGTACTGTATGAGTATGATATGCGTATTTCTTCCATACATCATTCTGTAGCCAGCAATTGCTGGGTGAGATGTTCATTGTAGTTGTGACATGTGTCTTCAGATTGGATCTGGGCATACCCTTGATCTAGCTATCCATCTATCCATAACCACCTCCATCTATCCATCCATCTGTAAACCAAGTTTAGATATGGAAAACCCGCCAGAAATGTAGATCATTTTCAGGTCATGGTTTTCCCCATGGTTTTTCCACCTCCAAATGTTTACCCCAAGGTACCTGAGATTCAAAAAAAATTGTCCATCACCCTATATATATATTATATATATATACACATATATTAGATAGTAACCCCATATCATATAATCATCAACTTGACAGGGGATTTCCATCGCGGGATCCAGCCGTAGGTTTTCTGAAGATCATCCGCAAGATCCAATTGCCTCGATCCCTGCGCCTGGCCATGCGGCAGGTGTCCCTGGCCTCCCAGATCCGTGGTGAAAAGCGGAAACTGGCGGGGTTCACCATCAAAAATGGTGGTTTCACTAGCGAAAATGGTGGTTTCAGTACCGAAAATGGTGGTTAAGTACCGAAAATGATGGTTTAACTAGCAAAATGATGGCTTCACCAGCAAAAATGGTGGTTTCACTAGCGAAACTGGTGGTTGAACGAACCAGCAAAGCTGGGGAATCAACCCGCCGTAACCCATCAAAATCGGGGATACCCATGATAAGAAAAACTGCCAAAAAAAAACTGAATAAATTTAGTGCTGCTGGAGCTCACAAGAACTGATGTCATTCCGGTCCAACCAGCAACAATGGTTGTATAGCGTTTACCACAAGCATGTTTCCAGGATTATTAAATATTAGTATATATTAGGGGGCGCAAGTTGGGGTTCATACATAGGAAAGTAGGTAAAACTCAGATTGATTGGGGTCCCTCTTTCAGGGCATTGTTCCTAGGGCAGCATAAAACGCCTCCGTTTTTGGTGGTGACTACTGACACGCGCTGAGGAGATGGAAAGACTCGGAAACTAGCTCCGCAAATTCAGTTGTTTTCGTGAACTGGTGGCGATAGTTCACCCAAAAAAAACGTGCCAAGGGAAAATAACGCTCTTTTGGGCTGTGAAATTTTCAGGGGATCAAGCCATCAAAAGGGCGATGAAGCCAGCGAAAATGGTAGGTACAGCACAGCCCTGAAGATTTCACTCCGGAATGGGTGGGGGTTCCACGCTCAATTTCAAGGGGTCAACGCCTCGAGCTCATTGCGACCCTGTGGAAAACACCTCAAGGCACGATAAGGCACGTTGGTCTTGATCATCCCCTATTTTGTTGGTTTGTTTTCCAATGTGTCTGATAAAACCAATTTTAGCTAGTCAAACGCCTTGCTTAGTTTTTGTTGAAGGTGATATCCTGAGTTTGTTGTTGCTTACCCTGGCAAACTTTTTGCAACGTTTACTGGAGGGCAAGACCTTTTCTTACTTGTTGATATCCCAAAATATATCCATCATATCTCATACAACCATTCTTGTTGGTTTAGATCATCAAGTTTGATGGTTTTAAAAGTCGTTCAATTCACCATTTTTCATGGTTAAATCCAACAGGGTAAAACTCCCCAGGACAAGTTGGCGGACATCGACGACAAGGAACAGCGGCCCTACCAACCCGCCTTACGTGCCTGGGATCCACGGAATTCCCTCGTTTTTGATGGAAGAAATGGGCTACGGCAGGTTATGATTGGGTTACTGTTGGCAAAAATGAGCTTCTTGTTGGGTTATGAAATGTTATAGGTAATGTTTGGTGTCCATTGGGTTATGATTGGGTTGCCCTTGGGGTGATTAGTCATGGGGCTACTCTTGTGTGTTTATTCTCGTCTATCCTTCAGTATGATCACTGGGTTTTAAATATCTAAAATCCGCCCGCACCGAAGGTGCTGGGGCGTGATCTTCCGGATGGCACTCGTAAAAGGTTACAGGTTTACCTGGGGGGGGGGCATTTTTCGGCCAAAACCTCCTGTTTTTGATAGGTCGTGACGCTCGCCTTCAAAAAACACTGTAAAAAACAGTACGGAAGACACCTGTTCGTGAACGCGCCCGTCCAAAATCGGCAAGCGAAAAGTGAAAAAAACCCGTGTTTTTCAACTTTTTGACCTCAATTTTTTGGTTTGCAACATCTTTTTTTGCGGTTCCGCAGGTGGCCGGGCCCGGAGGCGGATTTTTTAGTTTTTGGACCCGTTTTCGGACTGATTTTCGTGGTTTTGTGATAGCAGAAACACTGGTTTTTACAGTGTTTTTCTGTTTTCTGCATGCTTGACGGCTAGCTTCAAAACTTCCAAAAACCTCGTAAATTACGCTGTTTTATGTTACGGTGTGAATGAAAACATCGTAAATACCAGTGTTTTTTGACGTTGGTTAAAAAAACACTGTAAATTACAGTGTTTTTGGCCACCTGACCCTCAAAAACCATGGTATTTGCAGTGGTTTCTGCTTCTCACCGCGCAAAAACACTGTAAATAACAGCAATTTCGCCGTTTTTTTCATGTTTTTCGTTATTTTTTGAATTGCGTTGGTCCGCTATACATGGCTATCAAATTCTTCGCGTTTTTTTTCCGACAATCAGTACTTTCGGATGTTTTTGGTCTCAATGGCCGACATCATTGGCAGTTACGAGCGGCTGCCCAACGATGCGGTGCGGGCGGTTGCCGTCGCGAAGCGACGTGAATATGACTATATAGATATGGGATCCACAATAATTCAGCATCCAAAATTGATCTATGGATGAGTTGCCACACCCCCAAGTGGCTAGTTGGGATGGCTTACTATGGATCCCATTGTTGGAAGACTAATTTTAAAGGGGATGAAAAATCATTTGGTGAGAGATTGGTAGCATGGTGAACTAGCTCAATGTTTGGTCAACAATTTTTGAGGTGGTTTCCATTTACCCACAGTTTAAACGGTTCCCTACTTGCAAGCTTCGTACTTGCTTGGCTGTGGCCAAGGCTGCTGGTGGCTCAGCCTGTTAGGTGTTCGTGCTATGAATGAATATGATATGAATATTTGATAATATTTGTGTGTAGTGCTTATATACATTATCTTGCTTGAGCTATGTGTACCACATGATTTTTCAAGATGGCTTAGGGACAGGGAGTGCAGTTTCGGGAGGACCATCGCCTGCTATGGATTGCTATGGTTTATCCCACTGGGATGACGTAATACTTTGAGTTGTCCTGTGCACCGAGGATTATTCTGTTATGGTATCATCGAGCCTATCATGCGCGAGGGCGCCCGCTATGCTGCCACCTGACAAGAATATGATGTGGGTCGGTCCCCTTTGGGGTCCAGATGTGAAAACAGCATCATTGCTGGTCCGGTTGGTAATTGGACTGCAACATGTGGATCCTGCAACGCCAAAATGGTGGATGTGATTTGGTGTTTCTTTGTTAATCACATGTTATTTGGTAATATTAAAGCCACTAACTTTAGTCATTTTGGTAATTTTGGCCCTATCAGCTGATTCCCAGGGAGACCTGCCGTCCAGGTACCTGCCAACTTTTTGAAGAAAAGTCAGCAGGACTACAAGCCCGACGATCCGCAGATTGCCTCCAATTTCGACGCTCGAAGGGGAAGGGACTGGTCAATGTTTCCTTCTCCAAGAAGGTTGGTAAGTCAAATGGGGATCGAAACCCTCCAATACAGAAAAACAATAAAACACATACTCCCAACTGCCCAAGTCGTGGCGAAATCCCAAAAATCTTGAAATTAGCTTGGGGGAAGGCTTTTGTGGAAGTCGTGGCGATGCGGCGTTTAGCTTGTGTTTAGGGTAGGTTGCTGTTTTACTATCTCATGTAGACCTAAAGTGGCGAAGCGGCGTTTAGGTTGTGTTTGGGGTAGGGCGTTGTTTTACTATTAGCATAGTGCTTTAATCTTGCTAGTTGCGTTCTCATTGCGTTTGGGATGGTTGCTGTTGGGTTCTGCAGCTACTGGCGTCTTGCTGTTGCTGCGGCTGCTGGTTCGACGGCTGCTGCTGTTGCTGTTTCCGGGTACTTCTACACAACGCTGGGATTATCATCTCTACACTGCCATGGCGGTGTGCTGGGATTTTGCAAATTGTCATTGTTTCGCTACCAGTGATCCAAGGAAGGGCAGGTTTGCGGCTTGCGGGCCAAAGTCCATGTGTGTAGATGCGGGGCTTTTTCCGTACCTCGTTTTGACCTCGTTTTGGACCTCGGTTTTTTCCTTTATCAGAACCCATCCTGCAGTATACAAACTAGGAAAAGGGCCTGCTTCGCGTTTTTGTTTGTGGGCGTCAACAGTGCCCACGAAAAAAGGAATGTTGGAAACCGGCGTTCCGATGGGATTCGATCAAAAACGAATAGAACCATGATAGTTTGGTCAAGGCTTGTTAAAGCTAGCGTTTCCAATGGGGAAAGGGGTTTTGCAAGGTCTGTGCCGGGACAGGGGTCGTGGCGAGCGTTTTGATTGGGAATAGCTGTCAAACGCAAACATTGCAAGGACTTGGGCGTATGGGTGTATATGAAAAACGATTGACAACCATATAGTACGGAGTTCACTGGAGGGTGAGCCCACTTTCAAAATCTTACAACTGGCAGGGCCTGGATATGGTAGATCCATACCCCGACCTTGGCCAATTTTGATCAAACCTCATGAATTTCTTTGCTAAAATACCCCTTTGTTATTTTGTTGTTGATTTGATGCATGTCTTAGAAAATTTAGAAACCTTTGTCCAGTATTGCTTAAAACCACCTGTTTGAATGCTTCAATGTTGAATTCTGATGTTTGACTAGTTGTAATGTAAGATGTCCCCTTTGTTTCATGGGGATATATGGTGATGTTTCACTTTTTGGTCGCGTCGAACATCTGTTTCCCAGGAGTGCATCGCAGACTTCTTAGATCAGATGCTGTCGAACACGATTGATCCCAAGGAGAGCCTCGGACGTGGCGCGCCACCAGCGGTGGTACCGGTGGTGCCCTCAACGTTAGCTAAAACGAAAAGGTGGTGAACTGCTGTAGCAATCTATAAACTCTAGGACTCTAGGGTCTATGGATGTTCATGGTAAATATATATATATATAAATATGTCTATAGGCAATGGGCTGTTTTTGGACCAAACACAACTGGGAGGCATCACAACTGGTAGTTTCGAAGACTTGTGAAGACCTGGACTTCAAAGAATGCTGGATGCATGGCACATCACTGGGATGAACCAATGAAGCGATGCTAAGCCAATGGCGGTCATGAAGGTGTTTCTTTACATGTGAGTATTAAATTGATAATTCAGGTACTAAGATTTCCGAGATACAATCACTTATCATCGGTGGATATGACTAAGATTATCTAAGTGAGTCACTTCAATAGCCACTGATCAGCCAGTTCTCCTCCGGCCCATCCTGAAGGGTTTGACTGTGGCTGCGGGAAGCTTCGTCAGAGCTGTCACGCGCTTCGCCCCTGCCCCTTCACCACCACCTAATGTGGTAGACCTAAGGCTATAAACTTCCTCCTGCTTGCGTGGTCTGGTTTATAATACCTCCCAATCGAAAATTCGGTAAATGGGGAATGGTTGCCTATTGGCTTCACATGATTCACAAGTTTCCAAGCCATGTCCATCGTCCATGGGACATTTCTGACCCCGGCACCCAGGAAGGCCTTGATGTCGGCGGCGCGCTTGGTGAAGGAAGAGCTGTTGACCTTTGTCAAACAGCAAAGCGAAGTGCAGGATACCACTGGCTCAGACATCCTTGCAGCCCCTTGACGAAAACAAGGGGGGCAAAGATTGAGGCTGCCACTGCGACAGTAACCGCCCCTGTTGGTTAAGATGATTTCTATCATATATTACCCTCTGGTAAACTAACGTAGCTATAGAAAATCATCATTATTAATGGGTAGATCAACTATAAATAGCAATGTTCAATAGCTATGTTAAATTACCGGAGGGTATATATTACGGTGTATATAATATAATATAGTATAATATAATATAATATAGTATAATATAATACAATATAATATCATATCATATCATATCATATCATAGTATAGTATAGTATAGTATGGTATAGTATAGTATAGTATATTACAATATAATACAATACAATACAATATAATATAATATAGCATGATTTGATATGATATGATATGATACAATATGATATGACATAATATGATATGATATGATATGATAATATATGGTATGTAATATAATATAATATGATATAATATAATATGATATAATATAATATAATATGATATAATATAATATGATATAATATAATATGATATAATATGATATAATATAATATAATATGATTTGATATAATATAATATGATTTGATATGATATAATATAATATGATATAATATAATACAATATAATATAATATAATATAGTATAATATGAAATAATATAATATATATATATGTTCAACATATATATATATATTGTTAGTACATTATCATCATCCATGCACTGGGAACCCCTAGTAAACATCGAGTATTTTATGGAGTGACATTTCGGATTTTGAACACTGTTCACCTGGGGCATGGGCTGGGTTGAAGATGCTGCATCTTTCATGGTTGTATCCTCATGGGTCATATGTATTGTTTCTTGTTGCTTGTTTGCAGAAGTTTGCACCCATCATTTTCCCTCTTGGCGGCATAGATGATGTGTTGAATTTTCCTGTGATCGGAACTATAGTATGACCAATAGTTTTGTGAACCAATAGTTTTATGAACCAATGTTCCACCTTTATACTATTCAATCGTAAACCAAGAAAACATCCCACCTTTGAGAAGAGGGTCTACGCGGCCTACGCAATGACCGGTGGATCATTTCCAGGTTGGAAGCATTTTTCGATCGATCTGAATGGGGGTTGCTCTGACCCAAAGCTCGAATAGATATCAAGTTACACCTGCAGGATGGGGTTTCCATAAATGGGGGATCCCCACTAGCTGGTTGGTTTATAAGGGAAAATCCCAATCTAAAATGGATGATGAAATGGGGTATCCCCATGATTTCCATCCCCACATCCCTTGGATTCGAATTTCACGAGGCAGTGCTCAACAGCCACTATTCACGGGCCAAGAGTTTTGTGACGATGTCCCAGGTCCCCGTGGCCGCCGGGCAAAACCGTTATTGAATCTGTGTAGGAAGGGATCTTCAATGGCAACAATTTCGGGATCTGCATCACTGTGTACATATATAATATGTCTATATTGTTTATACCTATTTATACTAGCATATACATACGTGTATAATGTATATATATATATGTATATATATATGTATATATATATGTATATATATATATATGTATATATATATATGTATATATATATATATGTATATATATATGTATATATATATATGTATATATATATATGTATATATATATATATGTGTGTGTGTGCTTTGATTTTTGTCATACTTGGTCGCAAAACACAAAGATGTAGAGAAACGGTTGATCTCTGCGGCAATTTGTTCACCAGTTCGGATCATGTGGAGGATCAGGAAATCGATTCTGACAAGGTGGTGCCCAGTAGTTACCTAACTTGGTTTGTAAGTAGGTTAACTAGCTTTATGATAATCAGAACTACCATATTGAGGTTGTCTTTAAATGGGGGACCCCAAAACCATGGTTGATTAAATACGTGTAGGGTAAGTTTGGATGATTTGGGGGTGCCAGTACCCCAATTCGAAGGAACCCACACAGAACTGCAACAGGATTAGAAAACGATCCATTCGCAACGAAGGCACATGTTTACACATCCCTGTGGTTGCTACCACTGGATCCATGTTTGGGAAATCTCACATCATCGGGGTGTATTGAAAATGTATAGAAAGTAGATAGTTAACCCAGTTAACCCAATTGGTTTTGGGCTATTTCACATGGGTCCCAGTCATTGTATCCCCATGTAATATACCGATTGTGTGAGTTAAATCCTTCATCTTTGGTGAAATCAAAGGGACACCATGAGTTGATTCATTGCTTACTGTAGTTTCCCCCATTTTTCCTGCTGAGTTCTATTTTTTTTCCTTACTGTAGTTTCCCCGTTGTTCCTGTAGTTGTCCCATATTTTTTCCCAATGGTTTTCCCCATGTTTATCTAACAGGTCTCTGGAAAGTCCCTGGAAACTGTGCCAGGCGCAGATCATGAAGTTGTCCAATTTGTTGAAGGCCTGGCGGAAGCCAAAATGTCACCAAAAAGGGAGAAAAACAATGGTAGTTTTAATGAAAATTAATGGTGATGAATAGTGACTCCTTGGGATGTTTAAATAGTGGATTGAGATGGTGAATGTTGTGGGGATTTGATGGGATAATCCTGATATTATGGTGACAGAACCATCAAAAATTGTGACTTAACCAAGAAAAATGGTAGTACAATCATGGGCATACAACCGGAATATAATAGGATATATATCTAAAGAAAAATGAGACCATGATGGTCATCAATGGGGATCAATAGGGATTGATGGGGATCAATGTTGATATATTGGTTATTCATAATGAATCATAAGGATATAAGTATAATAATCACTGTGTCGTCACTGGAATGCGGGGAATGTGTTTTCAGGTTAGTGACAGTGAATTATTATTATCATTCAGCTATATATACAGTATAGATATACATACATATTGGGGATATATATATATATAGTATATTATATTATTGGATTTGAGGGTAGCCTATTTTCTGACAAGCCAGATAATGGACTCACCAGCAAAGATCGATATTGACCACTAAACCAAGCTTCAGAAAGGTAGTCCATTTGACCTGGATTGGCATACCGAGAGATTGGCATACCGAGGGAGTGTTCCAGAAGCCTTCAGAAAGTATGGGGGTTGACTCATTCAGTTTGCCACATCAATGTGGTAAACCAATGTCATGAACCTCCAAATAAAGGACAAGGATGGTCAAACTCCCACCCTTTTCTTGTAAGACATGTGGTGTTTTCTGTTGATTGGACATCCAGTCTCTATATTCATCATGTAGTGTTGTTATTACTAGCACTATCTTTTTGTTGTTTTTTTGTTGACTTAGATCCCTGTTATTATTGATGGTCGAATCCCCGTTTTTTGATGGTTTAGATCCCAATTGTTGATGATTAAATCCAAATTGTTTATGATTAAATCAAACAGTTTGATGGTTAAATCACAATTCGTGATGGTTGAATTCCTAATGTTTGATGGTTAAAACACAATTTTTGATTGTTAAATCTCACAGTTTTGGATGTTGAACCACAATTATTGATGGTTAAATCCCGATTTGTTATGCTTAATCGAACATGTTGATGGTAAAATCCCGATGTTCGATGGTTAAATCACACGTTTTGGTCACATGTTTTGATGGGTGAAATCAGAATTCTTGATAGTTAAATCCACCATTTATTTTAAATGGTTAAACCACCATTTTTGATGGTTAAATCCACCATTTTTTGATATTTTTTGGTGGTTTACCACATCCTGTTCTGGTTTCGGGAAGCACCGTGGGCCCGTGGGCTCGAGGAGTGGAGCAGCAAGCTGCGCATCAAGGAGTTTGACCCCCTGGGTGCGTGCGTCCAAAGCGTGCCGGAGTGGGACAAGGAAAGCATCATGATGCCTGGCGGGGTGCTCCATATATTTATGGGATATACCCTCTGGTAAACTAACATAACTACGGTATAAAATTAGGATTTTGATGATAAATTATGATGGGAACATATAATGATACATGATGGGAAAATCTTGGGGATACACATTCGGATTTTGATTGGGAGATTTTAGATCTTGATTCAGGGCTGCTCCATCCAGCCATTTCCCGCCTTATATCTGGGCGGTTGGGAGCAGCCCTGTTGATCTAGGTTTAGGTACATACAATGTGTGGTTTTCTGAATAATTAGGGGAAAACCCCAAACCATCCAGCAGTTAGTCAGCATTTTCTCTTTCAAAATCATGATCATTTTCGGTATACCCTGTTTTCAGACAGACGCAAATGATGTGATGGGTATAGATGAATCGATCCAGAATATGGGGAATTGATCATGAAAAATGGTGAGTTAATCATCAAGCATGAGGATTTTACCATCAAATATCGGAAATTGCGGTAACCTTTAAAAGCTGGGGTCCATGAACAACTATGATTTATATAGCCATAAATAATAAACAATCGGGATGTAATCATCAAAATTGAGACTGAATCTGCAAAGATTTGCTGTTTTCCAGGAGTGAGGTGCCAAGAGAGACTGGCAAATCGGACACCCCAAAACCATGCTTGCGATTCTATGAACAATTTGGGATCAACCAACCAATAGAGATATTAACCAACCACTGGATGTCATGCGACCAAATCATAATCTTTGGGCTGAAGTTCGAACCGGTACATCATTTTAGACACGTGTCTTCTGGAAGTGATGTTTTGCGGCTTTCGGGTGTTTGTGGCCCAGGTTTTCCCAGTGGTGCACAGGAAAATCCAGCCTTATCTGGGGGTAAGAACCATGGCTTTCCTGTATATGTTCCCTTCAACCCGTCCGTTGATTTACAAAGCCTGGCTGCACATGATCCCAATTTATCGAGGATTGTCCCATTATATAGACAAAAAAACAGATAAGAACATAGATTTTCCAGCAGCAAGAAAATCACCATGTGATATTGTTGGTTCATGGTGGTTCTATTAATATATTATATATCCTATTCTGTCCCGTTGTAATCTCATTGTATTCCCATTGCATCCCTAGTATTTCCCAACAAGAATCAACCAATCCATGCGATACGTTTGGCTACCAAGGATCAGTGAGAGATATGAGGTGCGTTTGAATTTTGAGATCGAGACGCGCTTCCTGATGACTGCAGAGGAACCGGAAGCGACAGCCTGGGTGGCCTGGGTACCAATTGCGAAATGGTCAAGTGACAGACATGTTAACTTTGCTTGTGATTGTCAGAAATTGTTGGGGCCCAAAAGATCAAATTAGTTGGCAAATGTTTAGTTTCTGGGTTTATGGCCATCGGTGAGCTGGGCCAAATTCTATGGTTTGGTGGTTTCCGATGTGTTTTTCTTTCCATCTCCACTTGTCAAATTGGACTATCCTTGAGGACTTGAGGGCTGAAACCGCCAACCGATTGGAACCCAGAAAACAAAGCGACTCATAGATGCAAGATCTGGTTCATAGGAGCTACCTGTGGGCAAAATACTGACCATGATGGGTATCTATCCAAGAAGTTGTGCAAATGGGCAACAATCAAAATTTCTGTGACTCTTTAATTGCTGATATTCCACTCTGGCTGATCCTTCAACTTGGCACCCCCTTTACCCAGGAAAATGATCTACAAATGATGGGTAAACTCCACATCTATGTTAGTTTACGGGATGGTAATCTGTAAGTGATTTTGTTCATTTTTGTGGATCTACATTCCCATTGTTCTTCATATAACCCCTGTTCTTCTTGCTTCAACACCCACTACATCCAATTTAAGCTGGGCTTGAAACTTAAAACTGTAGAGGAAACTGCTGTATCTGGATTGTATCAAGTAACTCCATTGTTGGTTAGGATACCTATATCATGTTATAGTTATATCCTTAGTCTAAGTATTACAGTATATTATACTTGATTATACTTCACTGGCGGTGTCTCATATTATATATGATCAGGGTCGGAGCCAGCAGAATTCATGGCGTCTACTTGGAAGTGTAGTTCCAGGTTTTTAGTTGATATATTACTCCAGTTATAGGGGCCCATATCCCAACAGACATGGGGTTTATTTGTTCATGTCCCCATAGTTATACCCATAGAATGCACCCACAAGTATAGATACTTCATGACTAGGTTGCCACTTCGCGTTTTTTAATTTTTTTTCTGTTTTGCTTAGCCTTTTGCTGCCGCAAGGGTTCAAGGTCCCAGGTCCAAGGTTCATGGGTCCATCCTCCTTCATCAAGCACTCAAGCCTAGCCCTCAGTCCACAACATTCCACTCCTTCAAGGTTCAAGGTATAATTGTTTAGAGTTCACAGTCCAAGGTTCATGGCCCCTAAAAATCCTTGCCCAGGTCTGAAAGCCTTCCTGCCCGTGACTTTCTTTCCCATTCAGGCAGGCAGTCGCAGATCTTGCATCTCCATGATGGGACATTGATGGTGTCTTCATTTTTTCATCCTTTAAAGTGGCATCCTTTTTCCAATTGCCATGTCTTTGTTGATGCGAGGCTGCTGCTTCACTTTGGCTGGCAGTTGGCAAATTCTGCTCATAGACTGCCAGCACCTCAGGTGGTAATTAGGCAACTTGAAGTCTGAATTGCATCAGGCATGTCAGTGTGTTGTTCCCTCCATTCAACAAACTGTGCTGCATTTGGTGAGGGGTTGATAATGCTGGTGCACAAGCTTGGGCCGACTATGAAGTTTTTTGGTCCAAGGTCCCCTGGTTCAACGGTCCAGCGGTTCCACGGTCCAGGGTCCACGGTCCAGGGCCCGCAATGGCAGAGCAGCAGTTAGATCTCAACGCTGCTGCAGAAGCTTTGGCCGAAGCTGTGGCGGGCGCTGTTGCGGCAGTTGATGCCCAGGCGCCTGCGGAGCCACCTGCTCAGCCTGCCCCAGAAGTTCAAGAAGTTGTTCCACAAGGCAGCGCCGAGATTGCCAATCAAGTGCTCCGACATGGCATCCAAATCTCGCCTGCTGTCATTGGCTTGACTTCTGACAGGATTGTGGAGCACTATGGGTGCCTGGGCTGAGAAACAGAGTTTAGTGGCTAGTATCTTTTAAAGCGCAGTTAAAGCAAGATTTGGATTGCAGTATTTGACAGTTGATTTTCATTTCAGGGACGGCGACTTCAAACAACATCTCAGGCACACGGCAACTGCGCCACAGTTCATGCGCAGAACTTATGATCCGACTTCTGATTGGACTTGGGCATTTGCCGGCTTCAGTTTTGCCAGGGCATCATTCTTCCCCGAGGGGCGGCGTACGCCAGAAGCAGCTGCTGCCATTTGCGCAAGCTTCATGGCAAACCTGAGCTAGCGGTTTTTCTTGAACGCGTGCTTTTGACCACCTGGGGCACCATGCTGAATTGATTTGTTTTGATTGCCTTTGGGGCTTTGGGGGCCACAGGCTTGACAGTCATTGAGAGTGACGTGGCGATGGCTGCCCAAGATGTGTTGTCTAAGTTGCCGGAGCGCCAGAATGTTCAGCAAGTCTTGCATGGTGCTTCTTGGTTGCAGGGATGCATGAAGTTTTTGTGGAATCAGTCATAGATGTGTTCAGATTTTTAACCTCTAACAATTTTATCAGTCTTTTTGGTTTGCGCGTTCATGCTTGTCAATATGAATCTACCACTTTTGAGCATGCTATCTAAGTTGGTGTGCCACAGCCGCGAGCTGTTGCGGCAGTTTATCATGGACGATCCCCGTGGGAACCGCAAGGGCACCTACCATGTGATCATGCATCCGTACACTTTGCATTCGCTGGCAAAGGGGCACACGCTCAAGTATTTCGAGCCTCATCTCAAGCTCTCAAGTTTGAAGGTTTGTTGCGCAATGCTCTGTTTTGTTTTTTAACGGTTGTCTTTTTTCTTGGGTTCAGCTTGCTTGCAAGCGGCCACTGAGGACAGAGATTCACAGTGGAGAGGATGGCCACTTCCTTGGTGCCGTGATGTCGACAACATGCCAGACGTCAACGCCTATGGGCGAGACTGCATCGCCTACGTGAAGCTGCTGATGAAAGTGAGTGGGATGTTGAGGGCTGAACCAAGGATGTTGCCCAGCATGGCCCAAGCATCCCGGCTCCGCTCCAGGGAAGACAGGAGAGGGGTTGTCCAGCAGGGTTGACCACCCTGGGCTTTGTCATTAATTGATTTCAAACAGGTTTAGAACTGGGAACCTTTTGGTTTTGCATTGCGGTCTCCTTGTCCTGTCGTCGCTTCATTTTGGCAGGAACCTCTCCTTGCTTGAGAAGTCTTTTTTCACGGAGCGGTTCACGCTTGAGTTTATACGCCAGATGGAAAAGTGTGGTGTGAGGCTGGCCATTGATCATCCATGGCTGCTGCTTCTTGGTTAATTTTCAGCCAGATGGACCCTTCGGTGTGACCTTTTGACCTTTCACAGCCTCCAAACTTAAAATTCTTCTAGTGAAGGGTATTTTGCTGACGCCCAAGGGTCTGTTTCAAGCTTTGATCATCCTAGGCGCGCGGAGGAGTTCCAATCCACGCGATCTCTCGAGCAAGGCTCCCAGCAGTTTTTTGCCCCACTTCCTGGAGAGCAACCTCCTTGGACTCGCTCACTGTGGTGCACAAGCGACGGCTACTTCTACGCATTCCGCCACGTCGCTGCAGATGTGAGCCACAAGCATTTGTCACTCCAACTCCGGTGATGAAAGCTTCTTGACTTTGCTAATTAATAATCAGTTTGTTGCAGCCTGAAAATGTGGCATTCTTAAAAGGGTTGCACCTTCCTAGTTAATTCTGCAGCTTGCCTATAGAACAGCTTAGGCCGATGTTCTGAAAGGCGACATGCACGAGGCGTTCTCCGACTGGTTTATGACACACAAACGCGAAGTGACAGTTGGCTGGCATGGCCAGAACAATCAAGATTTCAGGCTTTTCCGCAACGGGTTCTCATTTGCATCTTGGATGTGACATGCAACTTTTTTCCTTCATCTTCCCTCCAAGTATTTTTCCTAGCACGTCCTTTCTGTCTCAATTGAAATTGCACCGGCTTCACTGAGGTCCAGGCGATCTGCTACAAGAATAAGACGGTGCCTCTTGTCTTGGCATTTGAGCGAGAGCAAGACTGCTCATGGAAACCATTCGAGCTCCACTTGGCCCGAGTTTACAAGTGGGGACCTGGCTTGCAGATGGCGTTGGGCGGACGATGGTCCCTCCTGACCTCGAGGAGGAGCGCGGTCGTCGTGGCAGGGGGGAGTATCGCGGAGGCCCTGGTGGTGGTGATCATGGTGGTTGGGGATACACTGGTGGTTGGGGCAGCGGTGGTGCAGATGCTCATGGCCCTTATCAGCAGCAACAGCAGTACCAGCAGCCACAGCAGCTCCAGCAGCCCCAGCAGCCTGGCGGCTGGGGCCCTGCGCAAGGTGGAGAGCAGTATCCTGCCGGACAGCCACCGCAAGCTGCTGCTCCTGACCCTGACCAAGACCCTCTTGGCATGGACGACTTCTGGGGCATGATGAATTGAGTCTAGCTGGCTGGTGCTGCATATGCTTGCGCTCATGGCGCATTTTAAAAGTGCTAAGGTAACGTTCTAACTGTAACTTTTTATTAAGGTCCAAAGTCCACAGTCCATAGGCAACAGCCCGACCAAGAAAAATCACAGATACAGCTGCTTGAGGGCTGGGCACGCAGCCGGCAAATTGCATGGCATCTTCGACCGATGATGCTTCTTCCACCGCCGTTGCATTGGCACATTTTGCGATGGATGTAAAAAGGCTCACTAGCTTCAAGAACTGACCCAGAACTGACTAACGTGCATGGCCATTCTATGGGCAAACCCAGCATGAGTAAAAAACATTTCAGAATGCAAATTCTAGTCTCGGCCAGGCTGGGACGCAGTTCTTTTTGCTTCAGCGAGGTGGGAAGGTGTGCCGGCAATGTGTTTTCCAATTTTTCTTCATGTAAACTATCTGGAGCCAGATGTCTTGCATTGGTGAAGAAATGAAGTCACTAACAGAATTTCTTCTGGAGGTCTTTTGCTGGCTAGAAGATCGCTGGCTTCCACGGGTCTTTTTTTGAGGCCTGGCAGCTGAGGAAAATAGGGTCTTCGACATCATAGTTGCCCCTATTATTTGTTGTCATTCTTTTGTTCTTGTAATGCTTTTGCACATCACATATGCGAGCTTCATTCCTGCGAGGTGGTGTGTGGCGACAAACAAGCCCTTCAGCGTGTGACAGGCAGGCGTTGATTTAACATTGGTGACCTAGATTGCAACTGGTCAGCTGCCGCCCTCTTGACCAGGCGTGGCCATCCCATTGCTCCTGCGCGGAGGAGGTGACAAATGTGCTGAATTTGTTGAGTAAGCAGCCTGTGTTCAAACATGGGCTTCTGTAAGCAACTTCAACCAAAGTTTCATCAAAGTCAGTGATTGAGCTGCACGAATGCTGGATTGCTTGGGAATGTCTTCTTGATAGAGGCTTTGCTGGCCGGTGTATGCCTTTCCAAGGCTGCCTTGGCCTTGGCTTCTTCTGAGCAGTGGAGATTTTCATATGAATTAAATTGAGTGTGGTTTGATATGCGCATTGGTGCTGTGTCATTGTTGCCATAGCGCAATCGTTGCTCTTGCTTGCCACCCAGCCTATTCTCTCAGGTGCTCCAAGCTACAGTGGGCGAAAAACTCAATTGTCAGTCATTCAATGAGTGAAGCGTGTGCATTCAACGTTTCTCACTTGAGCTGTTTTGCGGGTTACTTCAATTTGTTTGGATGCTGCTTCAGTGCTTAGAGCTGTCCTTCGCTAGAGGTTTGCGCGGGCTGGTCTACATTTACCTGCACTTGCCAAGGCCTGATTTGTTTGGGCTTTGTCTGGGCAATGAAGAATGCAGTTGTTTTGATATGTAGACAACCTGTCATTGTTGCCAAGTGCACGGCCACTTTATTTATAATAGTCACTGCTTTTTTGGCCCCCAGTTTACGGTCCACGGTCCAGGGTCCAGGGTCCACAGTCCATCGAGATGAGCCTCGACCCTTTGCCTGCCTCTCTGCTTACGTGGCTGGATGAGTGGGGACCAGGCTTGAAGAAGAGAGTGATGGCAGCACTCCCGCAGCATGGCCTTTCTGGGGCTTTGGCACCGAACTTGCTGTGCAATCACTGAGCTTTGCTCCTCATCGCTTCGATTCGGCAGCAAGTCCACTGTTCAAATTCTGCAGCCTCATTGGGGCCATTGCTCTGCTGTGCGGAATGCAGGCAGCTGTGTGGAGCAGCTTCCTTGGCCCCAGCAATACAGTCACCATTTGCGCGAATCAAGGGTGTAATAGAGGGGAAAAAATCACTAGCAATACACATTGCCTGTGTCTGCAGAAAAGGCAGCCGAAGAAGAGGGCCAAACTACTCCCAGCTCGGCGCAAACTGGAGGTGTATTAGAAGGTTTTTTTCCTCATCAATACACTTGACGGTTCGTGCAAACCAATCCGCGCGTGCATTCAAGGATGGTTTGCTAACATTCAAGGGTCGAAGAGGCGTTCGAAATTACTTCCAAGGGTCATGTTCCAACATCCAAGGGTTGAATCACTACTGATATTTCAAGCTCTTGTTCGCACTCTGAAAATGCGGCTTCCCAGCAAAGCCACAGAATCCTGGTTGGACAAGGGCCGCAAGACAGGAATGGCAGGCTTTTGGCAGGTCACAGGAGTGATTCTCCAGGCCGGGTGCATGTCTTGAGACATGGACCGGATAATCCCTTTAATTATTCTCGGAAATGAATTGTACCGTCCGTTCAATGTTTATTCACAAGCCTTTTGGGCTAGGCTCCTAGCTCCTAGGTTTCTTGTCATTTAGCCTTTGGCATGTGGACAGGTATTCGAATATTCCGAGAAGTTGATTGCAAAGCCCCCCGAGCCCAAACTTTCGAAAGCAAAACTAACTCTTGAAGATTTGCTGTCCCCGGTGCAGTGCTAGGAGAAGTTCCTTCGTGGAGATGAAAAAGCAGGTTGCGAAGTTGGGTTTTTGCACGAGGATGATTTAGAGGAAGAGTGGGTAGTATCGGTGCCAACAGGCCCCATGGCTTTGGTCAAGGAGAGCTTCGACAAAGCAACCGGTGTGCTGCTTGATATCCTGTTGGACCTCGTCTCTGGAAAGCATTTTCCCGATTGTCAGGAGCTTGCTTCCCAAGCTGGTGGAATGATCAAAGCCTTGCAGAACATGGGTGGCCAAGAAGACCTCCAGCTCCTCAAGGAATTGAAGATTGTGACAGACATGTTTGATGGCCATTCCAAATCCATTACTCCAAGCAATGCTGCACGTGCCCCAAGCCTGCTGACCCCGTTGACTGCCGAAGGGAAGCTTGATCATGAGGCCGACGCAGAACGTGACAGGCACTGGAAAATGATCCAATCTGAGAGGAGAAGGTTTGTTAGCTTTGGAATCCCCAAGAATTGGTCCAAAGATGGTCTTCTGAGGCATCCTTCAGAGCTTCGGGGAAGGTCTTTGCACAGTCTGGGCAGCTCAACAGCAGTCACAGATTGTTGTGTGCATCTGCTGATCTTTTGTTGAGCAGGGCGATGAGCCTTGGGCTACCCCTTCTGTTCCTCCACCGAACCTTTGGAAAGAGATTCTGGCTTTCATGGGCTCCAGCGCCACCGAGCCAGCAGACTTTGTGATGGCATTTGATGGGAGGATGCGTGAAATGCGCCGCCTGAGTGCAGCTTGGCTTGGGCCATCTAGGTAGCCATAGCCATGGGGGTGCATCAACTTTGATTTTAATATTGTTTCCTTGTTGTCAGTTTGATCGTGGGCTCTTGCTTTCTGTTCTTTGCTGCGCCACAGATCCTGCAAGGAAGATGATCTGCTCAGCCAAGCCCATGCCTGTGAAGGTGCAAATGTTTACACTGGTGGCTGCCCCCCACGGGCCGGGAGATCCCGTAAAGTTCCCTTGTCTGGCAGAAAGTTGGAGACCATGGCCATCAGATGCCCCGTGCAGCGGTCCCGCATCAAGGTATCGAAAAAGGAGACCTTCACCGCGTGCGGTGAAGAAAGCACATACGAGGGCACCTACACAGGTGTTTAGTTTCGAGGCTGGAGTGAATCCCATTGATTTCCATGCAAGAGAAGTATAAGCTGCTGGGCCCAAACGGCGTCTTGTCAGTGCCTGAGCTCCCAGAGGACTGGATGGAACGCAATGGAGAAGGTTGTCCGCTGTTTTGGCACGAATCCAAGCTCATTGCCTTGTGGTGTGCCTTGCTTGACGAATGGAAAGTTCATGCAGTTCTGGATTGTATAGCCCTGGAAGTGGTGCCCTAATGGAAGCAGCTCTGACAAGTGGCATTGTCTGCCATGGCTTCTGCCTTGACCTGAGCTGGCTGTGTCACATGATTTGTTTCTAGCACTTGCTGTCAGCCAATGCCATGCTTGTCCTCGTCCTCGTCCATTATAATCACATCAGGCCAGCGCCTGTTCATCACAGCTAAATGGATGGTCGATGTGACAATTTTTCCAAGGTCTGAACAAAGAGCACCTGCAGTGGCTCCAGGCTATCGCTGACAGAGCAGCGTGCGGACTCATTGCTGCGGAGGGGAGCTCCTTATTTTCCGAGGAGAATGCCACTGCAGTGAAGAAATCATTTCCAGACGTCATTGCTTGTTTGGCAAAGGCCCAGGAAGAAGACGATGCTCAGCCTTTGGAGCCAGAAAGCCCAAATGAGTGAGCAATGGTGCCGGCATGGGTAGGGCTGGCTCGTGGTCTAAGGTCCAGGGCCCACGGTCCAAAGTTCATTGTGTTCCCTAATCATGGTTTGACTGGATATCAGCAGCTCGTTTCAGCCAGCTCTACTACCTTGCAGGCTTTTAGCAGCAAAAGGCTTTCCAATGGATTTGTTCCATTCAATTTTGATATTGCTTTTGTTCCATTCAATAGGATCAAATTGCAGTAGCTCCTAGATGACAAACCACTACCTTGATTCAAAAGGCGTGTTTGCCAGTGGTGAATTTGCAGTCCAGTGTTTTTTTGTTTCTCAGCGGTCTATACAAAAGCAGCCTTGGATGTCAGCAAATGACCCTTCTAGGTCTCAAATCCACGAAATGCAGCAGTGAAAGGTGATTTGCTTACTTTGAAGGGTGTGAGATGCAGGCAGGTGAGTTCTGAGGGTTGAGATGAGTAGGAGCCTTATAGAAAAGCAGCCTTGGATGTCAGCAAATGACCCTTCTAGGTCTCAAATCCAGGAAATGCAGCAGTGAAAGGTGATTTGCTTGCATTGAAAGGTGTGATATGCAGGCAGGGGAGTTCTGAGGGTTCAAGGTCCAAGGTCCAAGGTTCGCAGTAGGGGTTCACCAGGGGCGTGGCCAGCAAGTTGCTCCTCATGATTCTGCGTGCTGCCTTCTGTCCAAAAATCAGACTGCGATGCAAGACTGCCATTGAAGCAAGTGCGAAGACCAAGGGCAAAACAGCCCAGCCTTCCCAGTGCAGCAACCATGTGAAAAAAGGCAGAGCAGCCAAGCCGCAACAAAGTGGCCGCAAGTCCCTTGTGAAGACCAAAGGCAAAACAGCCAAGCCTAGGCAGAGTGCCAGGCGCATGGCAGTGAAGCAAAGTTTGGTTCCCAAAGCAAGGAGGGCATTCGCCCTATTTTTGGGTGAGAACACCAAAGTCAAGAAAGGAGCTTCAAAGTCTGAGTATCAAGCAGAGATGCGAAGAGTTGCGGCGCTTTGGAAACAGTTGGATGACAAGCAAAAGGCTCCTTTCCACAAAAAAAACTTGAAGAATTCCAAGTACAAAGGGACGCAATGGGGCGTTTGGGCTTCGATGTTCGGAAGTGCTTGCGGCCGGGCAAGTGCGAGGATCGTGGTGAATCCGAGCTAGCCCCCCGGAATGCTTTGCCCCATGCCCGGCGCAAGTTCCGCATTGGCAATTACACCGTCGTAGAGGATCAGCTGGGTAGTGGCTCTTATGGAAAGGTATTTTCTTCCTGCTGCCCAAATGGCCGGTCTTGTGCCATCAAAGTCTACCGCAGCCGGCAAGCACATCATGAGGCAGCGTTCGAGCTTGCTACTTACGAGAAGCTCGGGAAGCTGGCAATGCCGCATTGCCAATGGTTTCCTATGGTCCTCGACTTTGACGCCTCAGGACGATCATGGCCCTGGTTGGCACTGTCCTAAAGTGGGGTTAGTTTGGCAGCCCGCTTGAACGCTGGAGGCCCAATGCCCCAAGACTTGGTTGAACACTTGTTGCTGCAATTGGAGGCTGCAATCTGCGTGTAGCACCATGAGGCCAAACTCTTGCACTTGGACATCAAGCCGGCTAACATTCTGTGGTGCGGTGAGCTGCGAGAGCTGCGGCTGTGCGACTTCGGCATGTCAGAGCCTGCACCTCGCCTTCCAGGTCCACAGTCCACGGCCCACGGTCCATCCAATCTTCGGCACCGCAGGGAGAACGGGCAACAGTTGCAGGCCCAATACCCACAACCGAGCCACGCTTCACAGAATATGTGACGCCCTTTTACCGACCACCCGAGCTGTGGAATTTGGTGTCTGGACCAGTGGCTTTGCAGGCAGCATTGACCAGGGCAGTGGATTTGTGGAGTTTTGGCTGCGTGGTCTTTGAAGTTGTTGCTGGCAAGCCACTCATGAAGCCTCTGGACCGACGGCAGCCGACTTCCAAACAGTGCGTTGCTGAATGGTGCAAAGATTGGCCAGAGCTGATTGCTTCCTCCGCCTGCGTTGCCGGTACTCGGGGATCTTGGAGCTGCTGGCGTGTTCGTATGTGGTCTTGTGGCATGTGGAGCTCTGTGGTGCTGAACGCTTGCTGCCCTGAGCCAAAGTCCAGGAAGTGGATGAAAGATGGTGCTGCCCACATCAACCGCGCTGACTGAGCGGCGTTTGACATTCCAGCAGCCGGCTTTCAGAAAAACATGAAAGCTGGCAGGGGTTTGCTTTATTATTGTGCTGTCCTGCCATTGCACAGGCCCTGATTTGTTGCGGTTCAAAGTCCATGGTCTGCAGGTCCACGATCCACTGTCCATCTTTCTTGATTTATTTTGTAAGACCTGATGCTATTATATACGGTTGATGCATGCGCTAGACAAAAAACCTTGCTTATGTTATGGCCCATGGTTGCGACAGCTACAGTAATAAGTTGTACCTAGAAACAGCCACTGAATGGGGAGCAGGCTATCGAAGGAGCTTATTGGCAAAGAAAAATTGTACCAGCTGGCACTTTCAACATTGGACATTCGCTTCTGCGCATTTCTTCAGCATTTTTATCGGACAAGAGCCTTTTCATCTTTTTTGTACTGCTGCTCTGTGCAGGTGAAGGTTGACCGATGAGCTGCTACAATTGCTTTGATAAGCGAGAAAAAATGGCCATAAGACATGACAAGTGTTGGGGGGTACTTGCTTGGATTGCGAATTTTAGAAGGGATCATCATTGTTGCCACAGGCACAGGCATGCAACTTGGATTTTAGTGATACACTTGGTCAGCGCACCTCCAGATCCACTAAAACGCAGTATATTCTTAAAATTTTTCGGGCCAGTCGAAACACCAACCCAGATGATATGTCCCATTCAATTTCCCATGAAGTTTCTCAGTAAATATCCCATTAAGTCCCATTATATGGGTATGGATCAATACCTATTAATACCACTTTTAGTGGGATGAACATCCATTTACCAGCTATTTTGATGTTCACCAGGGGTACAAGGTTTTGACACACTGCCATATAAATCACGGTGTTTTCTTGGTGATATCCTCCATAGATTCCACCTTTCGCAGGAGATTTTGCTCTGCAAGCAATCCATGTGCCCTCTACCCTCCTGGGCCTGCAGTGCCCAGACCTCTCCGAACCTTGCGCCTGGGCCTGGACATTGGCTGGTTGGTGGCTTAATGAAGAATGACCAATCCATGGGGATAAATCATCTATAAATCATCTATAATAGTCTAGAAATCATCTTATAAATCATGTGGAAATCATCTATAAATCATCTAAACATCAATTCTATAAATCATCTAAACATCAATTCTCTTTATAAATCGAAGATTTTCCATAACCGATAGGGTTCTATCGGGACGCACTTGGCGGGTGAAGCCACCAGCTGGGTCGAGCACATGGCGATGCCAAGGTGTACATAGAAGAAGAAGCGGCTGGCAACGACCAAGGCTGGGTCGGTATGACTGGTTCATGGCCACTAAAGTTAGAACTCAGAGATTCTAAGCTGCAAAAACTATAGATTTAGATGGATTTAGTATGATGTTGATGTGACTAAATCAACAAACATAGGGTATATCATGGGAATCTTGTGGGATACTTGGATGGTGCACCCCAGGAATCGGATCCGTGGCTGGTACCTGGTGTGTACCCCCAAACTCTCACTTTGATGGGGAAAATGTTGATGAACTATAGGATTTGGGGGTACTCTATTTTCAGACCTACTAGTCGGCTGCTAGGGGTCCTATTTTCGATTCTAATGACCCCATTATAAACTGCTTAGTATAACCCATCCAACAATCAACGACAGGGGATGTGGACTTGTTTGAAAACTGGGTACCCCAAGATCCACTGGTTCCGCGAATCATGTCATGAAAAAATTGCCAGAACTTGGGGTTTACTAATCCCTCATTTTCAGGTGCCACAGCATGTGGGGCAGCGCGCACCCATTGGGATGTTCAATCCTCGTAGCAACCGATGCTGAAGCGGCATAGTACAATGCTGAACACATGACTGTGCAAAAAACGGCGCCCAACGATTGGGATTCAACCATTCAAAAACATGGATTTAATTTACCCAAAAAAAAACATCAAAAAGTTGGATTCAAGAACGATTGGGTTGGATGATGGTCTATTGGATTCCAAGTCTAAGTCAGGTTGGTGGTGTCATTCTCGTTCGTGTCAATCACCCTGTCAAAAATGCCTCGAAACATGGGGGCTGTGGGAAGGATTTGAACAGGTTTGAAGTAAATCCCTGGCCCAGGCGCATTCTTCGAGTCCTTGTTTCAACGCTTAGCGCCCCTTGAGAGCAAGAACTTCGCAACTTTGCTCCCTGGCAGTGATGGGATGGTCATGGCGATGGGTTAGGAATATATGAATGTGTATATATATATATACACACTGGTAGGACAAAAGTTGCGCTCGTTGAGCTTCTCACAGTGAACATGTTTGGTTTCTTCTTCTGCACACCCTTTCGCCGTAGAATCCTAGCATGGAGCTTTGTCGTACCCCGGTCGCATTTCCACCCTCCAAAAGCTTTGAAATCTTATATATTTAAAAGAGGGTGATAATTGACCGCCCCACACCTGCCACACAAAACGGACTTGAAAATGTGATCCGCAGTTGGCCGAGATGGATGTTTTGTACAGCTTTCAAGAAGCATAAACTTTGTTCCTCCTGAAGTATATATGGAATATCTGAGATGGGGTCAGGAATCGGTCATGGTATGTCATGGCCAAAACTTGTGAAATTAAACTTCCAAGAACAAAAGTGATCTAAAATATGCGCCAATAAGAAGACCTGTGTCAGGCGATGAAACTCAACACCGAAAATCAGGTTCAAGATCTGGGTCCAGAGCTTAACAGATTGGGTGTTCCTAAAATGGGGGAAATTTGGTCAGTTTTTATAAGGAAATCAAAGGTTGAAAAGGGGTGCATCTATTTAGGATACAGAAGGGATGCCTCTATCACGACCCAATTTTCCCATTCCTTGTAATGGGTAGGAATCCCCCACAATAATAAGAGAAGAGTAAGGAGATGAGGAGATGTATAATTATATTGGGTAAATAATCGCCCTGAGTTTGGGTGCATCAGCCCTCAATCATTCCCAACATATGTTTTCAATGGAGCCATCTCTCCCTGCGGACAAGATCCTCACAAGCTCATGACTTGGATGATTTCTAGCTGGAATGTGGCTAAGGCCAAGTCATTATTATTGAAACACATTTTTCAGCCCCCAACTATGGATGGTTTGATACTAAAAGAGGCACATGAAACTTCACAAAGCCTCATGAATTGCGCTTAACCCCCCCGTCAAAGTCTTTGTGGAATCCCTATGACATATCCCAATCACATCTCCAGGTTTGGTGATGGTCACATCCCCATGTTTTACTGGTTGAATCATGTTGAATCACCATATTTTTCACTGGTGGAATATGGTTAGATCATGTGGAAAATCATCCGCTTCTTTACTGGTTATATAGAGTTTCCTAAAATGGTAGTACCCCCAAATCATCCAAGGCAGTAGACCATTTCAGTATTGAAACCTACGGTTTGGGGATCCCCAAAAATTAACACATCCCCTTCTGTCTTCCAATATCCAGCATCACCTGCAAAAGAGTTCTAGTGGTTCATCTGTTTAAATCTATATAAATATTGTTAAATAGTGTTAAATATTTCTAAATATGGTTAAACATGGAAAAAATATGGTTAAATATATACATAATATATGTGTTTTCCATGTTTAACAATATTTACCAATATTTAACCATATGTTTAACCATATATCCTCATTTTTCAATATATATATATATACACACTAGAATACATCATATATGTTAGCCAGAGAAAGTGAATATGATGTATTCTAGTATACTATGGTTAATATGGCTTTTTAAATATGTGTTTTTCCTGATGATTAATACTAATAGTGTTAATATGGTCAATAGTGTTATAACCTGGTTTTAACCATATGGTGTTTTAAATATGTTTTTCCTGATTATTATGTTTTGATGATTAATATTAGTATACTAACATGGTTTTTCCTCAATTTTTCTCTGGCAAAAGGTGTGGTTAAAATGTCCAGGCGCATCGAGCTGCAAGATCGCCGCAGCCAGCTGGCCTCCGCAGCGACAGAGGAGGGCTACCTGGAGATGATCAACGACCTGGACACCGCGTGACCTTCGAAAAATGCTGGGAGATGGTGAAAAATGGTGAGTTCAGCAGATTTAAGCTATAAAATCTTGGGATTTCACCAGATTTAAGCCATAAAAATGGTGATTGAAGCAGATGTTAAGCTCTAAAAATGGGGATTGCACTCTACAGAAAGGGGACATCACCTACAGAAATTGGGATGATCACCTGCAGCTTAAATGTGGATGTCACATTGATTTCACGACGGAAATTGGAGGGTTGACTTCAAGATTAATTAGGGATGTCATCAACAAAAAGTGAGAGTTCACCATGGAAAGTGGAGGTTGAACCAAAACTGGGATCTGTGATTCTCTTCGTAACCAAACAGAAAGCATATGGATCCAATTTCAAGTCCTATCACAGATTTGAGCAAGTTTTGTTGGTAATACCTTGGGTAAGCAATCAAATTTGAGGGGACTTGGCTATGCTCGATGCTACTTTTTTATATAGGAAGGGTCAGAATCACGGAGAGTTGCCAGCTCGATTCATCGCTTCCCATGCTGCTTGAAATCACATCAGATCTAGTCCCATTTGTTGATGATTAAAATATATTAAAACAACATGTCCATTGATGTGCTGTTTTTGTTGCTGGTAACCCATGTTAAAATCCCCTTTGTTCCTTCCTAGGTGGTTGCTTCGATATATAGCTGATAAATTCCCTATGTTGACATTCTATTGATCGAGATCCCATTCGTTTGTTCAACTCCCAGATCCCAGTTTTCCGTGCTTAGATGTAAATATGTTGGATGGTGAATAATCTAAATATGTGATGTCGAATCACCATTTTTGTCGGTGGAATCGCAATGTTCGATGGTCAAATCATCACTATTGATCATTATCTTGCTGATTAACTCACCATTTTGGATGGTCCAATCACCAGCTTAATCCCGCATTTTAGTTGGTTAAGTCAGTTCTAATGTTACTCGTAGTAAAGCAATAATGAATCACCTATATTTTGATGGTTTATACCACCCATTTATGGTTAAAATTGGGGCTGGTGTTTTTCCCCATTCCCCAAGTCAGTTAGTTAATTTAGTGAGTTGGTTTACTTACAGTATCTTGTTTTTGATGGTCATCACCATTTTACTTAGTTAGTTCTTATTAGTTCTATGTTTTTCTCTATATGGTTGGTTTATTAGTTAGTTCTTATTAGTTCTATTTGTTTTCTCAATTTAAGTGTTAGTTTAGATGCTCAATTCTCATGTTTGATCAAAAATAGACCCATGTTTTCCCCAGGTTAGATGGTTGTCTTCACATGAGTTTTCCCCAATTCTCATTCTTTATTAGTTACCCTCTGGTAAACTAACATAACTATGGGAAATCACCATGTTTAATGGGAAAATCCAATATAAATGGCCATTTTCCATGGCTATGTTAAATTACCAGAGGGTACCCAGGTGTCAGCTGATCACCGAGTGGATGGACGTCGGGGCTGAGCCTCGACAATTGCTGGACCTCTTGACGGAGCGCGTGCCTCGGAGATTTCTGATGGAAAAATCGTGAGGACTTTAATGACTTTAATGGGAACTAATATTAGTTATTAGTCATACATACTAGTTATAACTATAATTATATTAGTGATATGGGAACTATATTAGTGATATGGGAACTTAATATAGTTATATTAGTTGTAACATGTTATAACTATAGTTATTTACCCACTAAGATGCTTTTCTGGGCAAATTATAGCGACCTCACTGTTCTCCCGAAGCCTCGAATCATGGTTTATTTTAGGGGAATCATCGCAAAATGGCCCAACATTTCAGGTGAATTATTACAATGTGCCCAGACTTTTGCCATCAAAACTATAGATTTTACCATGAAAAATATTCAAACATGAGGAGTGACTTGGAGTGACCATCTAAAATTGGAGGGTTAAGCTGTGTAAATGATAAAGGCCTCTATGGCCCGACCTCATGATCACCTCAAAATCGGCAAAACTTTCAGCTGTGTATTTTGACTAAAGTAAACAATCCTCATGGTTTTAGTTGCGACCCAGCCTGTAAATCTGGTTTGAGATGGTTCATGATGGTTCTATTCTTTCATGGCCATATATTAATATATATATATAATTAATTAATATTGGTGGTATGCTAATTCGTAACGATTTCATAGTTCTCCCACTTTGACTATCCATCCCCCAGCCACACACACCCAGTTGAGAAACCCGGCTGAGACTATGGCCTAGAGGGTACCCCATTGCATCCACTTTATGGGATTGGGGGAATGAATGGGACCATTATCGTGAACATGTTGAATAATGATATATAATGATGGGTTTGTGGGAACATCATTATCAGCCAAACCCATTATATATATAATGATGGGAGAGAATGATGATGTTCCCCATTAAATTGCCATTGAAATGGTGATGGTGAATCGTTATTTCCCCCAATGACATATCATTGACGTATTCAAAATGATCAAAATGGCCACAACTCAGGAAGTTCATCCACCATTTTCTTAGACACGATTGACCAAGCCCCTCGAGGTTCGAGGTCGCCAACGTCAGTTTCGCTACTTGGAAGTGACTGAGAGGCGCCGAGGGACGCCTTGATGGTCGGATTGGATGATGGGAAAATGGGAAAACGATGGAAAACTTCGCTGAAATCGCCAAAAACTCATGGTTTCCGGTAAAGATCTTGGTCGAACGGGCCACGATTTTCCATTGAAAGTGGGAAAGGGCCTGTTTTGTTGTTTAGCAAGGGCTATGCACGGGCTATGCGGCGCCATCAGGCCACATCCTGGCTGATGGAAAATCCACCAATAGTTCGATGATTTTGCCGAGGTCAATAAGATTCACTACTTGGATGTGCATCCCAGATAGGATCCGTGGCTTATAGACGTATAACATTCTATGACCATTCATCTATCTAACTGGTGATTTTCATATGGTCATTATCCACTGAGCTAACTCTGCCTGGGTCCCGCATCCCCAATGTGCCGGGATGGTACCGCCCCTACAGCCGTACCCTAGAAACGGTTCATGGACTGGGACCCCTTACTGGGTATTTAATGTTAGGTTGAAGGGCTTAGACCCAAGTTTACTGGCTAAATCCCCATGAAATCCACAGTTGTTTTGGGGCAAATCCCTGTTAAGGCCCAAAGTTTAGCGCTTTTGGGGGCCAGGTACTTGAAGTCTATCTTGGAGAAGCAGCTGGAGTACAAGCAGGACAGCACTACTGGCTGTGTCTATTTGGTGTAGCCAACAACAACGGATGCAGAGATAATATGCATGTGTATAAATATGACTGTAGATGTACAGTCCAGCACAGTACAGTACAGTACATTTGCATACATTTGCGGCCTTGCCCGAGACGCTCTCAGAAAACTGTAAATTATGGGTCATGCTGGAATGCCTGAAAAGCTCAGGTAGAGGACCTCTGCGACATACAAGTCATCCTGAACTCTATCATCCTAAAGCTGGAAAACCCTAAATCCTAAATCCTTCACCCTGAATCGAAACAGTCAAACCAATTCGGCTTGCGTCAAATGCTTGGTCTTTTTGGTGATAGTTTGATATATAATGTGATTAAACTATAATATAATTATAATATAATCATAGTATAATTTCATATCATTGACGCAGAGGAGGTGTGTTTGAAAGCACCGCCAGGACTTGAAGCAGCACATCACAGAGCTCAAAGATGCCGTAGGCGCCGGACCTTGATGTCAACAAACATCGGGGGGTTAAGATGGGTTCACCATGGGTTCACCATGGGTTAACCACCAAGAGACATCAAGAATTTGGGAAAAGTGTGGGTAAGATCTAAGGAAGAATCGAAGTTTCAGCAACATCAAGATTACATCGAGATGTTTTTTTAATGGATTCAAGTTTTAAGCAAGGAAACTCAAAAGGTACACAAGACAAGTGGTGTGAACAATGGTGATGGGGATAGCTAGTCAACGACCAAAGTGAACTGGGGGGCGGGTTGAATTACTGTAGTTTGTAATCCTCAAGCCTCAAAATGCCTCAAAGTAGCCATTTTTGGACCCAAAACTTATGGAAAGAGTAAGATCCCCATTCTTTTCAGGCATCCCACTCCATCCCTTTGCAGTTCAGGTAGCCAGTGAGGATCATCTCAGATGCTGAACTCGTGCGTCTCTGTGTGCCCAACCACAAACAGGAGGATGGTCCCCAACGCTAAAGCACACGTACCGACCACTTTGGATTTCTACCCATTTATGGTTGGCTCACATACATTGGTTAATCTGTTAATTACAGTTCAGGGGTATCCCATCATACTCCTGATGATGTTCCATCACATTCTTTTTGGTCAACATCTTTGGTACTTTAGCAATTTTCATGGTTATTTGTTGCCCCAACAAGCGAACTGATCATTGTAAGCTAATCAAAAACGAATAATCTATAGCAATATCCCATTCTTGGATGTATCCCATCATACCCCCGCAATGTGGTAAACCCAATGATAAGACTCTATTGCAGGATGATTGAAATCCTGATGATTGGATTTGTGACACGAACTTGCTTATCAGATATCATCTTGATCAATGCAAGCTATAGTAGTCGGAAAGTGTCGCTACCCCATTCTTACCGGAATATAAAGGGTAAGGTTGTGATAATTCAACAAGATGATCCCCATGATATTCCCATTGAAAGGGAATAATTATCCCGATTAAAAGCCCCATGATATCAAACCTCAAATTCTCCCCGCATTTTTGTGGGTGACGGTACTGTGCCAGTCGCCAGGTTTTTCGCTCAGCATGAAGCTTCCGCAGACGTTGTCCAAAGCGGCTGGGTGTTGGTTGGACATTTTACCCTGGAAAAAAGTTGGATGTAAAAAAACAAATGGTGATTTGACCAAGGAAGACTGAGAAATCACGAGGTAACCAACAAGAATGTTAATATGACATCATAAAATGGGATACAATCTGGCGCCCAAGCATCTTGTTAGTTTGCTGCGAACGTCAGCAACGGATGCATAGCGAAAGAAAAAATGGGAATATCACGTGGAAAATCCCGCTGATTTGTAACCACCTGGATTGGGGTTATCCCTCCCAAATGACCTATTTCAGGGTGGTGCGTAATTACAACTGGGCGAGACATATGGTAAGAAACAGATTGTGAACAGTAAGCAACAGAGATTGAAAGTTTACCAATGGTCTTGGTATTCGACTACACCATTGGGTATTAAAATGTATTGAGCAGATACAAATGAGGATCTACGTAATAAACATATATCAACATGATGATTCAAGGCCATAATCCAAATAGTGGGGTTCTGTCAATAGTCAATAGGGTTGATTAAGAAAATAGTTTGTGAGGGGAAGTATGTGAATTAGTCAATATCCATGTTGTTGAGTTTAGTGTGAGTGAATGCCACGTGGGCAATAGTGGTGGGCAACAAATCACTTCGGTATATTTGGTCTACCAAGCAATAATGGTCGTGACAAGGGCCATTTCAACCAATCACGAGATATCGAGACCAATGTGAGGACGTGCATGAATATGTCTTTGAATTGCGAGGAAATGGGGTTTTCCTAAAATGGGGGTGCCAAAGTGGATGGTTTTTGGATGGTTTATAATGGACAAGCCTATTAAAATGGATGATTTTGGGGTACCCATATTTTAGGAAAACCCCCAAATAGACAAAGTTCGGTGGACATTCATCCCGGCTGAGAAACGTGTCAACATCGCCATTCGCATGGCCACCTTTTCTGAATACTAATGTTTGCCATGAGCTGGACTAGTTGGACTGTTGGACCATGTTGGACCATGTTGGACCATGTTGGACCCGGCCAAGGCTTGTAACGAAGTCGGAGTGACTCCATCATTCCAAATCATTCAGAAGAAAATGGAGTTTGTGCCAACGCTCATGGCTACAAAGGCCCTGCTGCGATGGGTCAAAAATTCAGGTTTCCAAAGGGACCGCAGATTAGCCATCCAATTTTAGGAGTGCCCAATTCTGACTCATACCCCGATATATGTATGTGTATATAGCTGTACATATATATATATAATATATATTATGTATGTGTGTATGTATACATATATATATATACATATGTGTGTATTTATTTATTTATAATATCTCTACATATATCAAGGGTTTTCGCAGCATTTGTGGGTTAGTGGGTGCATCAAATAGGAGATCAGCAGGGATGATCAAATCAAACGTCCGCGAGGATATGGCGGAGATTGGCTGCTCCTACATTCCCATGGCCACCTATCCTGTGGCAAAACTCAAGAAGATGAAGGTGCGCAGCCACAAAATCCATCCCTCGTTCATATATACATATATGTATATATATATATATACATACATACATATGTATGCATAATTATATATACATATATGTTACACCCCCATTGGTCCCAAATATGTGTAAATCCCCTACATCCACCATGGTTTCTGATGGGATTTATGGGTATTTAAGATTTGGGGATTTGGGGGGAAGGGATTGAGTATGATATGACCACATCATCTGACCGCTCGAAAAACTTGGATGTATCCATCTCATCCTACTTGTGAGGTTGGCCATAGCACCCTTTCTCTTGATTGGTGTCCAATTTTTCTTGGCTCAACTGTATTGTTACATCACCAACATCATGTCTCTTGTATTGTCACATCAACATCGTGTGAACAGGGACAGCAACCTGGTCTTTCAATAATATCTCTCAAAATGTTGTTACATCCAGCTTGTTACTTACCACCAACATGGGTTTTTACATAACCACACCCCATGTCGTGCATGGTAAGCCCAGTCGTGAGGTGCTGGTGGAGGTGTGTCCTCCTCACAGCGCGATGCAGCGCCTGGGCCACCCTGGGAAAATCATCACTGGGGGAGGCGGTTGAAATGGGGATAGAACCAACCATAATTGGGATATAATGTGATGATACAACATATATATATATAAACAAACATATATAGTTAATGATGTATACATCATATAGTTAATGATGTATATGTATATATAATTATATATTTAATTATATATAATTATATATATATATATACATACCCATTTAGGTATAAAAACCAACCATTCTATGGGATACAATGGAGGTATACGCTCTGGTAATCAAACGTGGCTAGCTGAAAAATGCCCTATAATATGAGGTTTATATCTGGGCAAAGCAACCATAAAAGGTGGATTTTCCAGCTAGCCAAGTTTGAATACCGGAGGGCTTGACAAAATTCTGAGCACCACTATCCCCCCAACTACTGATTTGACCCTAAGAATCACTACTCTTTCAGAGGAATTGTAGTCAACCCCAAACTCATGGCAGGGTCTATGTTTAGCTGGAGGAAGGGTAACATGTTGAGAAGGTGGCTATATGGGCTATTAATGTTAAGAATATGAAGAAATCCGATCCAGGATTGATAAGCCCCCTGGTTGATCAATGTTTATCGATATTTACTAGGGGAGTTACCCATTTGTTCAAAGTGATATCTTTGTATTTTGGGGGAGCCCTCTATGGATCTAACCTGGTCATGAATGCAGGTTTGACAGTTGGAATGGGTCATGCCAGCCTTCAAACCACTGGAATAGATGAAGATCCACATCCAACAGCTATGTTGATGTGAAAACCAGCATACCAGGGTATGGACCCATACCAGTATATGCTAATTATATGTGTATATATATATACATACATTACATTACATTACATTACATTACATTACCATACATTACATTACCATACATTACATTACCATACATTACATTACATTACATTACATTACCATACATCATGCATGCAGACATACATCCATCCATCCATCCATACATACATACATACATAGAGAGAGAGAGAGATAGACCTACATACATAATCAGATACACATATTTATATATATAATAACACATGTTTCCAGTGGGCCAAGAGTTCAAAGCCAAATGTTCGTTATTGGATGGGATACAAATACACGCATATACGCACACACACACACATACATACACGCATACACACAGATGCGTGTAGCAAACGGAGAACCAAGCTTCTAGCATTATACATTTGTTGCGGCCAAGCACCTCGTTTTGCCCGAGGCACTCTCAAAACGCTGCAAATTGTGGGTGATTCTGGCATTCCTGAAAAGCTCAGATAGGGGACCCGTGCGTCATCCTGAACCCTGGCATCCTCAAGCTTTAGAACCCTAAATACAAGGAAAAAACTAAACCCTATAAACTATGAGACAATCAAGGAAAAACCCCTAAACGCTAAACACCTAAACCCTAAAACCCTAATTCCTAAACCCTAAAACGTGAAACCTTTGAAGTGAAGTTGGGCGAAACAAGGTATTTGGGAGAATTGTTGTTCCCCAATTTTCTCGATGGGTTCAACTACTACAATATACTACAATAGTTTGCCCAATCCACAAGATTGGTTGATGATATTCCAAGCAAAACATCAATCCCTGTGTCTATTCACGATTTAGGCGGGTTAAATCCCAGTTTTTGCTGGTTAAATCACCATGTTGGCTGATTACAATTAATCAATTATTTTTTTTGGACAAAACAGCATGTGTTCTGATTGAATCTCAATGTTCTTTGAAATTACCAATTTCTGTTGGGTTTCACTCCCTGAAATCCCCCATCTATTTTCATCTAAATTTTCCTCGTGTTTTTTTCCGAAAACTTGGTCGATTCATCGTCCCCTGCCTCAATGGATTGGTTTAGGGGAAATTTACACCGGAAAACCCCATATTCCATGGTAAAAACCCATGGGTTTCCGGTTAAATTTTTCCCAACAAAACCAATCCAATGACTGCAGGAAGATGATGGAGATGACCTTCAAAAAGCTGGACGCACAAGCCGTGGAGATCACCGTTTGCATCGCGCCGCTGGGTTTGTCGTTGGGTGAGGGGATCATCCGAGGGATTTTTTGTGTTGGAGGTGTCCTCAAAACCATGGCTTTTCAATGCGAAACCTAAAAACCATGGTTTTGAAAAAATGAAAATGGTGATTTGTCTGAAAATGATGGTTTAACCATGTTTAACCGTTTAACCCCCAAATACTCATTTGAATGACGATGATAAACCATGGGATCATTTGAGGTACCCCCATGATCGGAGGGAGCGGTGAAGAGAGCCAGGGATGTCCATATTCCCTATTCAATGGGGAGCCAAGGAGCTACTAAGAGTGTCCCAACCATGTGATAGGTATACCGGTATACCGGTATACCTTTCTAAAGTAATACCAGATGGTGATCGGGATGCTAAAAGATACAAAAACATGTGTAACCCGATAGAAAAGGTTGTATTTATTTATCGTTTAAAACATGAGGGACTAATCAAACATGAGGGATTATGCGACCTGTCTAAATGTATCCTTTAATCACTTAATCGAACTTTTTGGGATTACTGATAGCCCCGTCAAGTTGACCTTTGAAATTGGGAATAGATTCATCAAAGATGGGGTACAATGGAGTATGGGATAATCTAGTGAGATGGTATACCCTTTACATAGATGGTAATATAACTAGATGTGACAACCACGGAGTCGGAGTCAGAGTTGCTCACACGCAGTTCGACATTCGTGGGGCACAGCAGGAGCGTTGGACGCTCTGAGAGCAGGATGCACAGAAGCGAGGGCGAGGCTTTGTTTGTGGCGCAAGTCGACCAGCAGCCAATTGCCAATAGACCGAGGCTCTTGGCTGATTTGTCAAGAAGTGAGCCTGGAGCCGGCACCACCCTACAGCGTCTGTGCCCAACATACCCAAACTCAACCGAGCAACAAATCAGCAGGTGGCTGGATCCGAGGTGGATCGATTGCTATATGGCAGGCAGTGAAGACAACGACAACTATGTGGAGCGACGCATCATATCCTACGCGAATTCTGAGGACAAGACATATTCAAAGAGGCACTGGAAGACTCATCTTCCAGAGCATCATGAGTTTTCCAGCTGTGGAACCTGCCCTAAGCTACACAGCCCCCGAACCTGGTTGGTTGTCAAATCACCATTCTCGCTGGAACATGTACCTGCAGAAGATTGCAATATCCTGGGGATTCCTGGGGTCTAGTCTAAGAAGGTTAGGTTTGCGCTTGACTTATGTCCGTGGGTCAAGACCGAACGTCACGCGTATTCGATGTAACAGCTTGGATATGTAATTCGCCTGTGGCCATGGCTATCCATGGCTCAATTTTGGGTCCATTTGACCCTTATTTCAGGTGGCCCATGTTCCCATCCCAAGATGGGTGATGATCTTGTGAATCTTGGGTGCAGCAACATACCATGCGGTGAACTGGATCTCGTAACTCAATTGTTTGATTTGGCTTTCAAAACTCCAACAGAACGTTCAATTGTTCAATTGTATCCATATTCCATCATATTCCATCATATTCCATCTAATATTCCCAGCCCACGGTCGCTCATGTTGTGTTTTCCCTTAGGCAAGGCGGCAACAAGAACGTGATCAAGACAATGACCTTGGATCATGCCAAGCTGCACCTCGGTGGCTGTGCGCCCACTGATTGCTGCTAAAGTGTACCCATCGGTGTTGATATCCTAAGTGCAGTAGACTCCTAGTGCGATTGGTCTTGGTGTTCAAACCATACCCAGACAGCAGTTGTTTGCAACGGTTGCAGCTTTCATTGTGATTGGGATGCATAGATCATTAAATCTTACAATTTATTTACATTTATTGATTTGGTACAGTAGCCACCACATAAGTTCGCTGTACGTTCACCAACCATAGATTGATTCCTTTTCCGCATGTGTTTAGGCAAAGTGCTTGGGAATGATGGGTTGTGTATGGTTATGTAATTACAGTACAGTTATATAATTGTTGGAGATTTTAGATATGTTTAGCTAATCATACTTAAGCGATAATTAAGCGATATTTTGCATGATTCATGCGTCCTCATGTTCTGGCTTTACGAAGGCTCGGTGGGTTGTCTACACTGGTACGTACCCCAATGCCACCATTGTCCCAACGTTTGAGGCTTGAAATCCACACGTGCTGAAAATGGTTCAATGATGTTAAAATTGTTAAATGTTCATTCTTGACTGTTCAAACCCAAGTGTTTTTTGGATGTAACCCAACGTCGAAACCCCCCCTGCTTCGATTTGAGATGCCAATTCTGGTTGAGACTCTGAAGACTAAAAACCTGACTGGGAAACCTGACTTTTGTATGGGTATTTGTCAATACCTATAGATGCATTTTTAGTGGGATGAACATCCATTTGCCAGCTATTTTGGGGTTCACTAGGTACCAGGGTTTTGACCCATCCCCGTATGTTGTAAAGCGATGTAAAGCGATAAACCACAGTCGTTATCCCCTGGGATGTTGTTGTTTTCTCCGAGGAATCAGCTCCGAGCCGCTCAGAGTGATGTTAGGGAACTCAGAATGCGGCCGTTGACCGGGAAGAACTGGTTGGGTAGGCCAACTCGGGGATTTCAGAAGCAAAACTACGGAAAACAATGGGGTTCAACATGGTCCAGCAAAAGTAAAGCGTTGTTATCAGCAAGAAAGGAATGAAAGTGGTAGCTGTAAGTTAACCACATTTAACCACTAAAGAAGATAAGAGATGTTAACCAATGAAAATAGGAGGTATTAGGAGATACAATATGATACAATCACATTGAACAAACTGGTTTGTTTGCTCGGTGCAGTAATTTTTTTTCGGGGGAATTTAGATGTTTCAAACAGTTTCAAACATGGGATGATCCCCAATGGCTCATTGAGATGGGTGGCTCAACCACCAATCAGTGAAAAGGGAAACCAGCCCAGTGGCTACCCTCTGGTAATTTAACAGTTTGCTATTGAAAATATCTCATTTATAAATGATTTACCTATTCAAAATGGTGATTTTCTATAGCTATGTTAGTTTACCAGTGGGTATATGATGCTACAGGAATCTAATGTCCAAAACGTGAAGGATTGCCCAAGTTTTTGTCAGGTCCCAATGGGATGAATTTTGTTAAACGAAACCCGGCAGCCTGGAAATTCCCCGTCTAAGCCCTTTGTTGTACAAAAAAAAAGTGAAAAAAAACCGTCGATCCCATATAATCCAACTCCACCATCCCCATCCAAAGCCCATTTTTCTCATCCATGTGGTTGTTCATCAGCAAATTCCATGGATCGGATCTTCCTTCCGCAATGGGAACCAGGAGATTGCGGAGTTTGGGCAACCAGGGGAGCCACCCTTCATGACATGCAACGCCTCCAACTTCGTGAGCCCCTTGGACGACGCATTTTTGGACCTATCTATGGTCTGTATATGGTTTCAAACATCTGTGATGTGTTAGAGCTACTTGGGATGATGATTATCCAGATTGAATCAAATTGAGTACTATACACAATATGTATTTGTATACATATATCTACGTATATATATATATGCATAACTTATGCATATAAGTGTTCCTATACCTGCATACATATACATGCTGATGTGACAAGCCCAATGCCATAAATCGTTTTTTGGGGGATGGCTTTTGAATACCCTCCAACTAGTGAAAATGGCGTATGGTTTATGATTGGCAAGAAGTGGTACACGGAAAATACGACACAGTTGTGGTGGATGCAGATGCGGAAAGGGGATAAATTATCATAAACCAAATTCTGTGTTAGCTAGTTTGACTGTGAGTGTTTGGCATTTGCCGCTTCCCAGCCAACGGATCATTGATTTGAAAGTTTGAGTTGGATCAGGGAGGGCATGGATCTCGTTTGGTTAGCTGGATCGTTTTAAGCCAATTGACCTTGTCGCTGCCGCCAAGGCCTCTTGACAAAGATCGAGAAGGGCAAAGCCTAGCGAAGGTCTCCGCAATTCGTGGATTTCACCCTCTTACTCCCATCTAGAACCTAGAATGATCTGCAGGTGAATATACATGCAGAAAAGAAGATATTATGAACGAAGTCTATAGTTATTTTTTCAGCAAACTATGTAGAATTTATGTAAAATTATACATAGTACTAGTACTCAATTACGTAACTATGTATGATATATTACGTTAGATGTGTAGACTAAAATTTCAAGTGTCGCGCACAAAACAATGGTGATTCAATGACATATTTTGTTAGAATAGTGTTTAATATTATTGTTAGGGAGGAGAACCCGGGGGGAAGGGAAATTTTTGGAAGGTACAGTGCTGGTGTTCAAATTGGTGCTCAAAGCAGAGCGGAGTAGTGGACGGGTTGCCATTCTTAGATGAACTTCCAATCCGGCACCTCTCACAAGGTTCCTGCATGGACCAATCATGAAAGTATTCAGTGAATTGGATTTCGTAATTTTTAGGAAATTCAATTGATTTCATCGTTTTGTGGCCTACTTACTCTTCGCAGCTTCTCAGCTAATCTCAGCTCTTCTAAACTCTTCTCAACTCATCTCAGCTCTTTACCTCGTCGCAAATGGTCGCAATTATTCGCAATTTATCTCGATTCTTCTTATATATTTTCATATTCTTCTCAATCCCTCTCAATTTTTGTCAAATCATCTCAATTCTTCCAATATATTCTAAATTCATTTCAATTTAATTATTAAGATATCTCAATATAAATATATAATCCATTATATTTATTGAAATTAATTTCTATAATATATATATATATTAAAAATATATTAAATTAGAATTTATTTCTCTATATAAATGCATATAAATAATATATTAATAATAATAATTATTTATTATATAATTATAAATAAATATATTAATATATATTAATATTAATTTATTAATTAATATAATTTATTATTATTTTGATAAATTATAATTAATATTCTTTTGAATATTTAATAAAAAAATATATTAATAAAATATAATATAAATATATATGGACATAAATTAAAATAT